GTATCTGAGGCCAAATTTGAACTCAGGTCCTCCTGACTCCAGGGCCTGTGCTCTATCCACTGCACCACCTAGTTGTCCCTAAAGTTTGTTTTTTAACATTTTTTTATAAATGCTTATCTCTCCCTTCCACTCCTCCTCTGTAGAACAATTTTTAAAAATCTTTACAAACAAAAAACCCACCAAGAATAAAATTTAAAAATCAAACTATGCTTCAATCTGAATTCAGACTACATCAGTTCCTTCTCTGGAGATGGATAGCACTTTTCATCACAAGTCCTTCAGAATTATCTCGGTCTGATCAAACTTATTAATAACAATAGCTTAATATATTATTTATTTCTATAGCACTTACTACGTTCCAGGCATAGTGCTAAGCTCATTACAATTAATTATCATGTCATTTGGTCCTCATAACAACCCAGGAAGGTAGGCATTATTATTATTATACCCATTTTACAGATGAGGAAACGAGTCAAAACTAATTCACACACTAGCCATGCTCAGATATACATGTCTCATTCTGGGAAGGGCAGCTAAGTAGTGCAGTGGGTAGATTGCTGACTTGAAGCTTGGAGTCAGGAAGACTCATCTTCCTGAGTTCAAATCCAGTCTCAGGTACTTACTAGGTGTGTGACCTCAGTCTCCTCTTCTGGGAAATGAGTTAGAGTAGGGAATGGCAAACCACTCCAGTATTTTTGTTAAGAAAACCCCAAGCGGTGTCACAAAGTGAGACACCACTGAAAAATAGACAACATTCTTGGAAATGACATTTTTTTTTAAAAAAATAAAAATTCTATTATATATATGATGTATATATAGATATGTGTGTGTATATATATACACACACACACACACACACACACATATATTTAGCTAGATGCATATTAAGTCCTCACTAACTAGAATGGATGATAATCCAACAAAGAGTTTCGGGACAGCTTAAGGTGGGTAGAAATAAAACAATCTGAGAACCTGATGTAACAGCAAAGTATTCATTAACCAAGTATAAGTTATATTTCAACCTTCCAGTCAAGAGGCTGTTTATCTTGAGAAAACCTTAGAGCTTCGTATTCTACCTTGGGTCTATTCTGGAATATACTCAATATTAGTGAATAATGGTGGAATGAAGTCAAAATAATACAAGCCCTTGAGGTTAGACCAGAAAGAAACGAGACCAGACCAAATCCAAACAACCCAGCTCACTTTGAATCCCCATTCATCATAAGACGTACAAAGAAATTTCAGGTCTATACAGTCCATGTAGGATAAGGAAGCTTCTGGGATCAGTGGCTTGGCAAACTCACTGATCTATACCAGATTTATGAAGACTATTGCCTAAAGTTTCCATTTGGGTTATTATTCAATTTGCCTTCAGCAGATCATCTTGTTGTCTCGTCAGGCGGCAGAATATCATCCTATCACATAAACTGAATCTCACAACTAAGACAAACTCCAACTTCTCTTCTTGTTGTTGTTGTCGTTGTTTGCCCGTCCTTTTCAAAGAGGACCAATGACATCACAGGATGTGGGTGAATTGAATTTAAGTGAGGCCGAGTTGCACAAAGTTGTCACTCTCTCTTTCAGAGCCATCAAAGTCCAGGGGCAGGACAAAAGACTGGTGATGGCCCAGGGTGCAGTGGGTGCCAAGCTCTACGCATGCCACAGGGCCTGCTTCAGCCACCCTCATGGCCATTGGAAGAAATTGTTCTCATTCATCCATTCTGCTAGAGAAAGTCTTCACATGCTCAGAGTAGACATCCCCCCAAATCACAGGTAGGTGGCGCCACAGTGCATAGAGTCTGGGGCCTGGAGTTGGGAAGACTCATCTTCCCTACTTCAACTCTTACCTCTGGGCAAGTCACTTAACTTGTTTGCCTCCGTTTCTTCATCTGTAAAATGAACTGGAAAAGGAAATGGCAAACCACTCCAACTTTACTTACAATGAAAAGAATACTTGTTCTAGAGTCAGAGAACCTAGGTTCAAATCCTGCCTGACTTCTACTGTGTGATCTTGGTCAAGTCACTGAATCTCCCTAAGCCTCAGAAGATTAAACTTATTCTACACCATTCTAAGACAAAATTAGGACCAGTAAATAAAAGTTCTCAAGTAGTGATCAATCAAAAAGCACTTATTAAGCCCTTATTATGTGCCAGCCACTGTGCTACACCCAGGACATACAAAGGTTAAAAATAGTACCTACCCTCCAGGAACTCAAAATCTAATGGGGGAGATATGTAAAGATCTAGGTACATACAATATAAAGAGAAGGAGAGTGGAAAAAGCGTTTTATTAAGTGCGCTAGGTACTATGCTAAGCACTTTTGTCTCCATTAATTCTAGGTAAGTACTATTATTATTCTCATTTCATAGTTGAGGAAACTGTGGCAGACAGAGGCTAACTGGCTTTCCCACGGTCAAAAAACCAGTAAACGTCTGAGGATGGAGCTGAATTCAGGTGTTCTTGACTCGAGGCCCAGTACTCTATCCACTATACCAAAGTAGATGGGAGGAAATCACCTGGGTAAAGGCACTAGCAGTAGGGCTTTAAGGAAGGGCTTAAGGGCTTAAGACTTTAAGGAAGCCAGAGAAATGAAATGGAGGTGAGTAAGAGCATTCCAGGTTATGAGGGTCAGTGAGTTCCAAATGGGAGAGATGAGAGTCATTTGCAAGTAACAGGAAGACCAGAAGCATGCAGAGTGTTAAGAGTAAGAGTAAGAAAACCAGAAAGGTAGGACAGGGTCAGGATATGAATAGCTTTAAATGCCAGAGAAATTTATATTTGGTGCTGGGGGTAATATAGAGCCACTGGAATTTACTGAGTAGGGAAGTGATCTAGCCAGAGCTATGCTTTAGGACAGAGATGGGGAACTTGCGGCCTGGAGGCCACATGTGGCCTTCTAGGTCTCTGGGTGTGCCTCTTTGACTGAATCCAAACTTCACAGAACAGATCCCCTTAATAAAAGGATTTGTTCTGTAAAATTTGGACTCAGTCAAAAGGTTGCAGCCAAGGACCTAGAAGGCCACATGTGGCCTCCAGGCCGCAGGTTCCCCACCCCTGGTTTAAAAAATCACTTTGGAGGATGGATTGGAGCAGGGAGAAAATTGACACAAGGAGAACAATTATTCAGCAGCTACAACAGTCCAGGTTCTGAAATAGGGTGGTGGCTACATGACTGGAAATGGGGGACATAGTTGAGAAATGTAGTGAAGGTAGAAACGAGGACACATGGACTGAGGGACAGAGGAATTGAGGATAACACCAAAGTTTGAGCCTGGGTTACTGGGAGCGTGGCAGTGCCAGCAACAATAATAGGGGAGTTTGTTAGAGGAAAGCACATGGAAGAAAAGATGACTTCTGTTCTGGACTTGAGATTCTTATGAGATACCCAGTGTGAGATTTTCAAAAGGTAATGCAAGACAGGTGCTCAGGAGAAAAGTTAGGGCTAAATGTAGCTCTGGGAGTCATGGGCAGAGATGACAACTGAACTTATGAGAACAAATGAGATGACCAAGCAAGATAGCATGGAGGAGAAGGAGAAGAGTGCCACAGTAAATGGGCATATTCTAGACAAAGACCCAGCCAAGGAGACTGGGAAGGATTAGCCATACAGGTAGGAGAAAAACCAGGAGAGAACGCTGTCATAAAATGTTGAGGAGGAGAGTACACAGGGGAAGAAGGGTGATTGACAGTGTCAAAGGGCGCACAGAAGTCAAGGAGGACGAGGATTGTGAAAATGTCCTTAGATTTGACAACTCAGTGATCACTGTTGACTTAGGAGAGAGCAGTTTCAGATGAACTGAATGGGAGTGGAGGAAGCAGAATCGAGCTCAGACAACCTCCTTGGGGAGTTTAGTCACAAATCGGAGGACAGATACAGGATGACAGCTAGGAGGGCTGAGACATGAGCATGTTTGTAGGCAGCAGAGAAGGAGCTGAGAGAGACAGACAATAAAAGAGAATGGAGATGCGAGAGGGAGCAAACTGCTGTCATGGTCAGGAGGAGCAGAATGATTGCAATACTGCGGCGAAGGCCCAGCTGAGGTTAAATCACATAAATCTGTAGTGGACCCAATCAGCATGGCTTCACGATATCCGATAAATCTGTTCAGTAGCAGCACATGATAGAAGTGAAGGTGGTGGAGGACAGGAGTAATCCAGGGCTGGGGCCGTGGCAAACCCCATCATAAGATTAGGGATAAAGCAAGAAGGTGAGGGATCTGAGGGTAGAGTTGAACTGTTTCACCAAAGGACTAAGAGAAGGAAGGGAAGACAGTATAGCAAATAGTGGAAAGGGTGTCAAGGGAAGCAGTGTCCTCCAGAGGGCATCAGATTTCAGTAAATGCTAGAAGATAGGAGGGAAAAAAGAAGAGGTTTAAAATGAAAGTAAGTTCTAAGACAACTCCAAAAGACTCACCATGCGAAATGCTATCCACATTCAGAGAAAGAACTTTGAAGTCTGAAAGCGGATGGAAGCATACTATTTGCTCTCCTTTTCCTTTGTTGTTTTGTTTTATTGCTTCATTTTGTGGTTCCTCCCATTAGTTCTAACTGTTCTTTACATCATGACTAATGGGAAAATATGCTTAATATGAATGTATAGGTAGAGCCTATATCAGATTGCATGCTATCTTGGTGGGGGCAGGAAGGGGGAGAAAATTCAAAACTCAAAATCTTGTGGAAGTGAATGTTGAAAACTAAAAATAAATTAATTAATTATAAAAAAGTAAAATAAAATGAAAGAAAGTTTGAGACAGGCAGGATAAAGGAAGAAGAAATGGAACTGAATAAGCCACAAATAGGATAATTGGCCCCTAAATAAAGTGTTAAACATAATTATACAAATGAAATTCAAATTAAATTATGAAGGTAAAGAAAATTTATTTATTTACAAATATTCAGATAATACTATTATCAAAGCTGTTTTTAGATATTATAAAAACATCATTATCTTTTTAAAATAATATAAAAATTTTCAGAATGTGAAACTCAAGCAGGTAACTGAGATTTTAACATTTTTTTTAATGTGAATTTTCTACTTTAGCTAAAGTGCATATCTGTTCACATTGAATATTTTGACACAATTATCCTCTCCACAGCTTGCCAGCTGTAACCACTCACTACTGTCCGGGTCATCATGTCCAGCTCTTCCGGTACAATTCCTCCAGCACAGTTTTTTGACAGTAAGTGTATGACTTTGGCTGTAATAAAGACAGAAAAGTCATGACACAAAAATGTATCTTTGCAAACTATAACTGCAAAATAAATTCAGATTTCACCTCAATATGAGCCACTTAATTTATGCCAAAAAAAAACCAAAACCAAACCCTAAACATTTATGCCTAAAATGTCCACGCTTTTTAATCCAAAGATCCTAGTGCTAGACCTAGGTAAGAACAGAAAGGAAGGCTCCAAGTATTAAGAATAGCAATGAAAAAGTGAATTCTCCTATCTAGTCACCCCGTCTTTTGTGCCAAGCAACAAGTCCCCAGTATCTCTCCTAGACTCTAGGCGTCAGGGATAGATCCTATTTCTATCAGACTGCTATCAATGATCTGAATGATGTGAAGAAGAAAGCATTTCGGGAATGAAGTGTATTATTATGTTCTTGAAGAAAGAGTTTCAATCATTTCTCTGCACCTGGGTCTCTGCATGTGTCTCTCCACGCAAAAGCTGGATAAACAAAACACACTAATTTTTGTTCAATTCAAAGAAAATAAATATTGTCTGTAGGGAGTGGGACATGGAAATACCTATGATTTGTTTCTATGCATTTGGTCCAATCTGAAGATGCTGGGTTCTGAAGAGTCTCCTCCCATGTATACAAAGAGATCTTTCCACACTCTAATCCTAATGCAACAATATATCTAAAAAAAAAAAAAAGACATAGCAACAAGTATTAAAATTACTTCTATTATCGCCAATGTCACTTCCTAAATTTAAGGTGTTAATTGAGCATAAAGCTCAACATAATTTGATTGTTAATTGAGCATAAAGCAGGATTTAACAACCAATTTATAAGCATTTTCTTATCAGGATCTAAAAGAACCAATCACCTCTAAAAGAAACATTGCCTATATTTGATTCTTAGTCTCTGCTGGGAAAGCTGGGAGACAACTCTGAAAGGCCAGGAGTCCTCACAAAGGGAGTTAGAAGAGGAACAAATACCAGGAAAGCAAGCAACACTGCTGCCCAGTTCAGAGTTTGGCCTTACAATGAATAAGTGAGAATTAAAATGTTCTCCTCTTTAAAATAAAATCTAAGAGCACAGCCATACCTTCTGGCAAGGGTGAGCACAGGGCTGACGCTGATGGCGGTGACTGCATCACCTGCATCCAGGACTGAAGAGCAGGGCCCGATATTACAGATGCGACTTTCTTCTGTGGCACCGGCAGAGTCACACTCACCCCAGACTACAACCTAAGCCAGACACAACCAACGGACAAATTACAAAGCTGCGTATGGTGGAACAATGTCTTTGACATCTGAGGTCACGGACAAGTCCACGGGGAAAACATTCTTCTTCTCCCCTGGGACGCTCCCTACAAGTTTCTTCTGGAATAGATATTCCATAAATAAGCCCATTCTCAGGTGCTCTGAGGAACAGAAGGTACAGGGACACGAATGATTTTTTTTTCCCATTCATATTTGACCCTTCTTTCATATTTAAATTTGCAAACGCTGTGGCTAACGTTCTGAAAATTCACAATATTACACCCAACATGATTAAGTTACACAACAGAAAACTGAAGGAGATGAAACCCTATTTACCCTACTTCTCACTCAGTTTACTTTATAAAGATGGGGGATGTTGCCAGGTGCTACTAAAAATAAATGGGTCTCACTGTTCTAAGCTCTGGAAAAGACTTTTGATCTGCTGAGATTTTGTAAGACATGATGATCCAACCAAGGAAAAGTTTGTATACCTGCTTTCTTGGAAATGTACATGGACCCACTTTCTAATCCTGATTCCACTTAAGTAGTTGCTAAAAAAGAAATTAAAGGAGAATTGGGCTGGAATTCCCAAGTGGAGAGGAGATCTAAGGAGCGTGACACCTAGCCTTTATCTGAATCATTGATAAACATGTTAATGCTATGTAGGCCTTTATCAGAGTCACTGATAAACATGTTAAATAGCATCAGCCAAGCAAAGATCCCTGGGGCACAGTGTTAGATAACACAGAGATAATGGAAGCAAGCTATCTGATTATAGTCCAGCCTTTATTCTCAGATACATTTATAGGCTCTTTACCTTTCTTTTCAGGAAAAATCATAACTACTACTGGAGGGTCTCCTTTCCCAAAGGTCCATCTCTTTCGGTGATGGGGATCTCGATCAATATCCAAAAGTGATTTCTTCTGGGTTTTCAAACAGTTGTTAATTTAGAGTTGGGAGTCATTTTAGTCCAACCTCCTACAGGTAAGGAAGATGAGGCCTGGACAGGTTATGTGCCTTGTCCTCTATGTCTTGGAATTTTACATTTTCTTCTAGACTCTTTTGCCACCTTCTTTCTACGTGAAGCCTCTCCTAATCCCTCCAAATACTAGTTCTACCTTTCCCCCAGCTTCTGTGGGTGCCTTTCTATTTACACGGAAGCAGTGTCGTGCAGTGGGTAGAGAGCTGGCCCTGAAATCAGGAAGACCTGGGTTTCAGTCCTGCCCTGACACACATAGGCTGGGTAACAGGGACCAGTACATCCCTTAACCTCTCAATGCTCTGGGCAGTTTTCTTTATTTCTTTAATTTGCCCTGCATTGAGAAAGGGAGTTTCCACACCTGGCATTTCTCTGTAACAATGAAATCACAGGTCCACTCTCTATCCTTTTATATGTCTGTGCTGTTTTTCTACAGTAGAATGTCAGCTATTTGAGGGCAAGATTATTTCTGCTTGGCACAGTGCTTAGCATAGTGCCTGACACATACAAGGCACTTCACTGATTATTCAATTGACTGATTGCTCATACAACCTGATAAGAACGGCTGACACACCGGGTGACAGTGAGGACCCAAAAAGATCCTGACAGACTAGAACACTGGGATGAAGCTAAAGGATGAAATTCAAGAAAGATAAATGTAAAATTTTATACCTGGTATTAAAAATCAGCTTCCCATGCACAAGATGGGTGTGTGTGAAGGGGAACAGTTAGACAACAGGTTCTCTGAAAAAGACCTAGAGGTTTCGGTGAACTCTAAGCCCAGTATAACTCAGTGGATGACATGACAGCCCCCCAAAAAGCTACTGACATCTTGGCTAGTGTCAAGAAGGCTCTGCTTCCAAGAATAATAACAGCAAACACTTCCATCATGCTTAGGCACTGCTAAGCACTTTACAATTATTCTCTCATCATCTCCTCAAAGTCCCTCTGCATTCTGCCACAGTCAGATCATACCTGGAGCCTGGTTCTGCTTGGGGCATCGCAGTTTAACAAAGACAATGGTGAGCTGCAGGGGAACCAGGATGGTGAAGGGCCTGAGTGCACGTCAGAGAAGGATTGGTAAGAGGGGCTGGGCGTGTTTACCCTACACAAGAGAAGACTCAGGAGGGCCGATGATAAGGGCTGTTGTGACAAGAGGGACTCGAAGTTCTGTCTGGTCCCAAAGGGCAAGAACAACAGCATTTAGTGGAAGTTAAAAAGAAGCCAAAGTTGGCTTGTTGTGAAAACCTTCCCAACAATCAGAACTGTCCAAAAGCTGAACGGGCTGACAACAGAGGTGAGGAGTTTTCTCCTCCCTGGAAATCTCTGGGGTAGAGGCTAGATATCCACTGGTCAGGGACGTTACAATGGGGATTCTGCTGGTCGGGCAGTCAACTAGCAGCTAAGTGTCTACTGTGTACTATATGTCTGCCACATCTCGTCTATCTTCAAAATTCTATGACTGTCATCATTTTCAACTAGAAATAATGTCTCTCTCTCCCTCCCTCTTCCCGCCTCCCTTTTATTCTCCTCAGCCCCCTCTTCTAGTACTTTCTATCCCTTAATTTATCACTTAGTCTGAGCACTCTTTGTTAAAAAGTTTTCATGATAGTACCTCAAGCTCTTTAGAGAAAGTCATATAAGATTTGACAATTTTTTTTTTAAATCACCTTTTTGTCACGACTCCCTGTGAAGAAATATCTGCTATCAGGGCTCCAGTCGCAAGACCAAATGATTCTAGTATGCACAGCTGTGTTTTTGTCTGTGAATGCACAGAGACTAAAAGCTGGTTCTGGAAAAAAATACATATCCACAGTTGAAAAATCATCTACTGAATGAGACAGCTATTTGCTTTTTTACCCTTTATAAAGCCATGTTTTAAAGACAATGATGCTTAGCAACTCATTTCTGTATAGTACATGTTTATGTGAAACTACATTGTTAAAATTTTTTGTATTATGTAAATAGAACTACTGACCTGCAATTAGCAGGATACATACTACTTGTCGTTTTTCTAATAGTGGGGATGGATTTGTGCTAAACAAGTACTTTTGTGGTCAGTGGGGAACATCTGACACGGCTAGTTAGGGGTTCAATTTGCGGGCAGAGATGCCATGGACAGTATGATTAAAAGCACACTATCACAAGATCATTTTCTTTTCCTTTCCAGTGGAAATAATTCTTGTTCTTCAGACAAGAACTATTTAGTCCAAATATCAAACTTAATCTATTTATGCCTGCTGCATACATTTTACAAGGAGAGTTTTGAAAGATGGAAGTGAAATAGTCTCCTGAGAAACCAAGTCCTTAAGAACCAGAGACCAAATGGATTAAAATGTGTACACCCACTCATCTCTAGCAGATTCAGGGAAAACTGCACATAACAGGACTGAGCCAGACAAAAATACTCCAGAATTACTGGTAAATAAATACACCGGCTCATTCTCAAGAAGTAAAACTGAAAGTCCAGGTACCAAGAAACTTATTTTCTTGGTTTCAGCCCACGGTTAAGAGGCATTCAAAAGAAAACAACCACTTGGAATTTAAAAAATACATCCCCAGGCCCAGCTGAGGCTGCAGGCAGAAGACAGCCAAAAGACCAGAGAGGATGGGGAAGGGCCAAGGGTCCTCTAAGCTGAATGTACCTGGTGAATGAATCCATCATCATGGAACTGTTATGATGCAGACTGAAGCCACGAAACATCCTGAGCACCAAGTTATGGTACCTGCATACACTGGAACCTAACAAGGTCCCCGTCCCCTATCAAAGTCCCATCTTAAGCTCACTTGTAAATACAAAAGAAAACATATGTATGAGTCCTTTAGGCCTGTAGGTACTTGGACAAGTGTGCTCTGGCACCTCACTTGACTCTGTGATTTGACTAACTGTGTAACTAGGATGAAAAAAGTTATGGGACTCACCTGGTCTTAGGGCACATTCCTGGTATGGGAAAGGGAAGGAAGGAGTAAGCATTTATAGAACACCTATCATATTCCAACCACCGTGTTAAGTGCTCTTAACAAATATCTCATTTGATCCTCACAACAACCTTTCAAGGTAGGTGCCACTATACAGTTAGTATCTGAGTAAGTATCTAGTAAGTAGCTAGTAAGTATTTGAGGTCAATATGAACTCAGTCTTTCTCAATCCAGGTGCAGCACACTACACATAGAGCCAGCAGCTTCCTCTATGCCTCTCTATGGCTAAGAAGAAATCCCAGGGCTTATAGATTAGATATCTAGAATGATGAAAAGCAACATAATTTCTAGTCCCTTATTTCCTCTTGATGTGTAGATGCAGCCATCAAACATTTGGAAAATAAGCTTTTCAAATCATTGAAAGTACTACTACGCTTTTTAAAAAATTTTAAATATTCTGAGTTGTATTTCTGGCTCAATATTTATACCATATAAGATTTATAGATCAGAATGTATATCATTTATCAAGTTTTGTGGCAAAACCGATGTCTTAAAATGTCTTTAGTGTCTATGAAATGTCCCAACCATAAAAGCCATAACTCACCGTCTTAACACACCCTGCCTAGAGCTACCTGTCACCGTTATCAGTCTCACTCCCTTCCTTCAGCTGCAAGGCTGGGGATGAACCCATCATCATGGAATTGTGGTGCTCTGAATTCAGCCACTTCAAGATTTTCTAAACTTCCCCTTTTCCAACCAATGCTGGAAGCAGATGAAACCCACAGTCACACCAATGGTTTTTCACCATCTTTTACCTGGTTGTTGTGAGTTTTCTTCCTGTCTTTTCCACAGTGACCAGTTTCTATCTCTAGAAACAGCAAGCAGGAATTTATCATCTGGAGAGAAGGCCATCTGGGTCACAGTCAGGTTGTGGAAAAGTAAGCTCTGCAGCTGCTTCCAGGAGGAAGTACTCCAGAGAATGATAGCGGCATGCTCCTTCTTGGTTGCCTATAGGACAGCAGTGAAAAAAACAATAACAAAAAACAGGAAAAACTATCATAGCTAGAAAGCAACTGAAGGCAAAATGGCAAATGTACACATCTGGACAGAGGGCTGCAACTGGTTCAGAAGTCCAACACAGCACAGTCCCTGTTTCATTCATTCAGAGGCATAACCACACTATTAGATGCACTTCAGATCATACACACCCCCACCATCAATCCCTGAAAGATATTCAACCAGTCAATAAGTTATAAATGGGAAGCATCCTAGAAATGCATTTGAAGTCAATCACTGGGAACTGAAAACACACTTCCCTCTGGGGAGTATGGGGGAGTAGGGAGTTTTCACACTAGTCCACAAAGGCCTATTTAACATATAATATACCAAAAAAAAAAACAAAACAACAAAACAAAACCAAAAAAAAACATATAATACAGCTTAAAGGTACAAATGAACTAATCACCACTTGTAACAAATTTGTGTATGTGTTTCTTTTTTTTAATATTTATTTTTTTAAGTTTTCCCCCAGTTACATGTAAAAACAATTTTTAACATTCATTTGAGTTACAAATTCCCTCCTCACCACCCCCCATTTAGAAAGCAAGCAGTTTGATATGAGTTACACATGTTTAGTCATGCAAAAATATACCTGTAATAGTCATGTATAACAAGATCTCTAAAGGAAACTAAGCTCCAAGTTCTAACTTGGGAAGCCAAACAGTCCCAGCTACAAATCCCAACCCCTGTGGTGGGAATTCCCACTTGATCCCCTTTCTCACTAGCCAGCTCCTAAAAGGGCTCGAGGACAGGGCGGGAGTGAGTGGAAGGAAACTGGGACAAGAAAGAACATGGGCAGCTGATGCTGGGGTGGGGTGAGAGAGGTTCAGAAAGGGGAGGAGTCCCAGGGTGCGGTGAGGTATAAGGGGGGCCCAGCAGGAGCACTTCTTTCTCCTATGGCAGCACCAGCAGAGCAAGGCACGTGGGAGGAGGGAGCGCAAAGGGAGGATGAGCAAGAGAGATCAGCAGCAACAGGATCAATCCCATGAACTGCTGATTCATAAGCTGAGTGTTTAAGTAGCTCCCATAAGTTCTGCCCAGGACCAACGACATCCAAAAACAAATGTGATCTCAAATAGTGTACTAAATAATAAGAAGAAAAATCTCATACCTTACATGCTGAGGCAATCACAGTGTTTGAATTGTTACAGGCAACACAAAAAATTTCATAACCATGTCCATATCTAAAAAAAAAAAAAAAAAAAGTAAGCAAATCACATGCTTCACTTAAAGGAAAAAAGGACAAGAAGCCTCTCTCAGGTATACAGCTCTTAAAGAGTATTTTAGATATGAGCAGAGGAGACAGGAATAATTCTGCATGTCTAATCAGAGTTTACAAAAGTTTTCAGAGAAGGATGTTTAGCTCCCATACCAAAAAAGAGATGTCCAGGGAAATTCCCTTGTAGTAAACAAGCACAGAACATCTTTTCACTGACATTCCATTAAAGTCAAGTACATGCTTTCCCAAATTAACACATGTAATGATTAATATGGAAATATGTTTTACATGCTTGCATATGCATAACCTATATCAAATTACGTACTGTCTCAGGGAGGGTAAGAGGAGAAAGGGAGGTAGAGAATTTAGAACTCAAAATTTCAAAAAAAAATGTTAAAAATTGTTTTTCCAAGCAATCAGAAAAAAAAAGATTATTAGAAAAAAAAGGTATTTAAAGGCAAAAAAGGTATTTTCAAGACCAAAAAAAACCCAAAAGAAATTAACATGTATAGTCAACCCTGTATTTTTATTCCTCACTAGTGGGTTTGGTGCATATCTATATACTCAGAAAGAATTCAGTTTGATTCAATGCAATTCGATTCAACAGTCCTCTACTGAATGTCTACTCAGTAGACTGAATGTCTGTTAAGCACTCAGTAAAGGATTGTTGAGTCCAATTGCACTGATTTGAACTGAGTATTTTCTGAGTGGAAAGGTCACCTCTAGGTGGCAGCACCTGAGCTGTACTATGAAAGGCGTTGGGGCTCCCAAGTAGTAAAGGGAGAAGGCAGCGCATTTCATACACAGGGGACAGACAGCCTGTGCAAAGTAGGGCCAAACAATGGAATGTCATTTATACAGCAACGCAAGTAAGCCAGACTGTCTGAAATACAGGGTGGGTAAGAAGGAACGGAAAGGAGAGAAAGGATGGAATGGAAAATTAGGTTAGAGCCAAATTGTAAAGGGCTTTGAACGCCAGTCAGAGTTTTATCCTATTAGTAATAAGGATCTCCTGACGCTTCTTGAGTAAGGGGGTGATGTGGTCAAATCTATGCTTTAGGAATATCAGTTTGGAAATAAAAAGAGAAAAGAAAGAAAAGACTGAACTATTAAAAATGTCCAGAAGAAAACAGAGGGAAGACCAGAAGGAAACATGGACAAGCATGACAGCTTTGAAAGTTATGTTAAATTTATTATATACTTAAAAGGAAAAGCTATACGTAATAGAGACTAGCAGTTTCACTGTGTGGTGCAATGCTTATTTTATTTGATGCTCAAGTCTAGAATAAAAAATTTATTTTTTTAAAAAAGGAAAAACAATTTGGCAGCTTTGTGGAGGATGGACTGGGGTGGGAATAGCCTGGAAGCAAGGAGACAAATAGAGGCTACTGCAATAGTCCAGGCAAAAGATGCCGAGGACTTGCTTGACCCAAGGCAGTGGTCAGGTGAATGGAGAAAAGGCTATAGATACTAAAGAAACTGGGATCAAGCGGATAGAGAACTTCTGTTGTCCAACGTATGTGCAACTGAACACTCAGCCCAGAGGGCTCATCTATCAGTTCCTGTATTTTGGACTGATACAATGGGTAATAATCAATCAATCAAATGAACCCAGAATTGAAGAGTGAAAAAGCAGAGTAAGCTGCATTTGGGAATCTGTGTGATGCTTTTAATGACTTTGAGCTCCTCCCTCAAACAAAGACGCATGTTTTTAATTCCAATATTCTTTAAGTATAGAGACAATATGGTATAGTGGACTGAGAGCTGACTTTGAAGCCAGAATGACCTGGGTTCAAGTCCTGCCTCTGACTCAAGCTTGCTGTCTGTCTTTGGGCAAGTCACTTAACTTCTCAATGATGTAGGCAACTCTCTAAGATTAGAAATTGCAGAGCTGGTTCTGACTAGCATTGGTGGGGGAGTTTCTCTATACCAGTGAAATCACAAGTCTAGTCCTTCTAACCAAGCCTCTTCTTTCTGTGACACAGATGGAATCCTAATAAAGCTGCCCCCACCCCAATATTCTAACTTCCTTATGGGCCCCACTGAACAGCAGGCACATCCTGATTTAACCACACAATCTGGCTTTAACCACACCACAGGCCCCCAGACTCACTATAGCCACTTCCCCTACCTAGCCATTGTGTCCCCCCACCTCAATATTCTAACTTCCTCATATATGCCTCGCTGCTCACTAGAACAACAGGTGTGTCTGGGTTTCCCACAGAAACAGCAGGCGTGTCCATGTGATGGAATCCCAGCCACTGCCTCTGGCTAGCCACTGCCCCCAGACCATTTCCTTATATTTCCCACAGAAACAGCGGGCGTGTCCATGTACTCAACCACAACCACACCCATCTCATCTCAGATAGGACCACAAAAGTCAGGCAATCAGAAAGCAGCACCACCAGGATGCCCGAGCAAGATGTGAACCCCAAAACAATAGAAAGGACGTTCCCTAAGTAGGCACCTGCGTAGTAATAGCAAAAGCTGTCCTTTAGGTGATCTTGTGACGTAGAAAGGCTTATTATAATATCGTTATCATACATACATAACCCCCAAATGGGTTTTTCTGTAGGCACTGTGGATAATCACATGCACAGTTTCACTGAGGCTGGGACCCTTCCTCATTACCTAATCCCTTAACAAACCCCTCTCCATTACCTAATCCCTTAACAAATCCCTCCTGACTTTTTAATATTCATAATTTATGTTAAGTAATTGCATCTTTGCCCTATAAAAATCCGTCTTTCTTTCACTGAAGTTGCTGATTCCTCTTTGAACCTAGCTCACTTCTGAGGGGCGTCAATCTTCAATAAAAGCCTTCAATTACAGATGGTCTGATTCTGAACTCTTCGAGAAAGGGCCACCACAACACACCATGAAAACTGCAACAACACCATGCAGTTGAGAAGTGTAGAATACCACAGTCTCCAAAGAACTCAAGTCATAGGTGGCCCAAGGGCAATGAAAGAGGCTCATGGATTGGCTGCAGCATAACTACCAACAAAAAGTCACGTGGAAAAGTGGTATGAAAGATGACATTGGCCAGTCATGCAGGCCAGAAAGGCACGCACTCTACTGACACAATGTCAGAAGACCTGGAGGAACTTTGCCCAGCATACTCTGTAGACCTCAGTTTAAGTAGGGGTTCTTGACCTGGGGTCTGTGAAACTGGATAGGAAAAAAGGGCACTTTAATTTGGACTAATCTCTAACTGAAATTTAGCATTCCCTTCGATTATGAATGCAGGCAACAAAACACTGTTGTGAAAAGAGGTTCATAGGCTTCCCTGGCCTGCCAAAGGGGACAACAAGGAAGTTAAGAACTCCTGATCCAGAGGATTCACAGAAGGACATGGGCAGGATGAGAAAGCTATAATCCTCGCTGCAGTGACAGCACCCACATTAACAGTGCCCCCATGTCACTGGGAGAAGTGTGCTTCACTGAGATACTGGGTGTCTCACTGAGGATTTCAGCTGTGGGAGCTGAGAAGCGTGGTCTCTGGGTTCTGGTCTTCTCACCTATCTTCCCACACACCTCCATGCCTTCTTAAGCAGTACACTGAACATGTAACTTTTTCTAGATGACTCAGAGCAGTCATGAGCATCCATTAGCGTACATGCTGAAACATAATGATGTCCTAAGGGCCTACGGAGCATGTAACACTGGCTGTAACCACATTAAACAGGCCTGGGCTTTTCTAGCTGCTATGATTGCTATAGGCGGTGCCTCTCCTGATTGCCCCTGATTACTTCTTGCTGTTGTCAACCTATCCTCCTTCTAATTTACTGAGTTATTTTTCACAAGATGTTCTTAGTGAAGGGGGCTCTACTGTTAGGACGGAGGATTTTACACCAAAGTTTTTCTTTTACTCACAGGGACGAGTTATCTTCCAGATGGCAGGAGTTAATAGGAGTGTTACAATCATAATGCTTTCCTTCACGTATGAAGATGCTGTTACTAGTTCACCACCAGCAGAACATCTCCTTTATAATGATGGATCTGCCTTGATCATGCTATACCACCCTGCCCAGATGCCTTTGTCACAGCACGTATTTAATAAAAGGCAGGCAGGAGTTATGGGTACAACGTGTGGTCATGGGTGGTGGGAAGTCCACGTGGAGCCGATTGGCATCACTGTCTATCCATCTGGTCTAACTGGACAATATGAGGGCCACTAAATCAATCTCACCAAAGATGGTATGTCTTGGTCCTTCTTGGATGGGTTCGTTTCAAGTGCTATGAGCCTACAGGTGGGGAAAGGGCCTCAGATCCTCTTACTTCCAGAGCCAGCACGAAGCTAGGTGCACGTGGGCTTGCTATCGTTTCTGTCTCTACTGTGTCCACTCTCTCCTACTTTTAGGTAAAGGAGACTGAAGACAGCTTTGACCTTGTAAGCTTTGAAAGGTCAAAAGAGTAGGTCACCAGGAGTCTGGGTGCTGGAGTCTATGCCAACATATACAGGAAGAGAGAATTGAAGAATGAGAATTGAAGGCCAGAGACACCTGTCTGACCCAGTGCAGCAGTAGAAGAGATTCTGACTCCTCCATCTTTGGCTATGCCTTGTAGAAATTATGTTACGTATGAGCCCGCTCTCCCCATGGACGAAAGTGGGGGTATAAGAGAAAGTGTGACCTTGGGTGGTGGAGGAAAATGTTTGCAATTTCTCTTCTTGCAGTAAATACTTCCATAAAAAGCTAAATGCAACTGGAACACTAATCACTGGCAACTAACAAGCGGAAAGAAGAATATGCTAGTGTAGGGCTGGAGCCAACTGTAGTGCAGAAATACAGCCCTACTGCTTGGGAGTGTCCCTGTATCCCTGAAGGGGAGTTGGCCTTGCTCTAGAAGAACGAGTTTAGAGTCATACTCTACAGAGGGGCTCAAATGGGATAAAACCAGGACCTCTGCATTTCGGGGAACCCTCAAGGGAGACACCCTAGTTACTTGTGGCTATCCTTGTTCTTAGAATCCACTAGGGTAAAACTAGCAGGGTATTTTCTCTTTGTTTGGGGCTACAATTGTACAGTCATTGTTTTTTCTGGTGTTTCCCATATAAGTCTGTTCCTTTTCAAATGATTTCTGCAGACGTCTGCATTTGCTGATTTATTGAATACTTAAGTACTGAAACTTGCTGCGCTACTGAATATTGTACAAGTACTGATATTAAAGGTACTATGACAAGTATGGGCTTTATATCACTAAAATGCAGGTTCCTAGTGAATAAATGCTGAGGTTTTCACATTAAAAAAAAAAAGATGGGATGTGTTGCTGAGAAGCTGCACATAGATCTTTTTTGTAATTTATGTCCTGGGGAGGTGCTAATTAAAGGATTCCTTTGATAAATCTTTTTCTAACCAAAGAATTATACCCTGTGATAAATTAGTGTAATGACATGATGAATGTGGGAAGGCCTTCCCCCAGAATTTAATTCTTACTCAACATCCTACAATTAATATTGGAGAGACTCCTTCTGAGTGTAATGAATGTGGGAAGGCCTTCAAAGGTAGTTTATTCCTTGATTTCCATCACAGAATTCACAAATGTGAGATTTCAAACAGAACTCACAGCTTACAGCACATGAGATAACTTGTACTAAAGAAAAAAACGCGCTGATCGATACAATTTGGGACTACCTTCCCCACATTTTTTTTTTCTGCTAGAGGCACCATCACCCTTCCAATTGTGCTAGTTTTGCAACCCTGGACCCATCCTCAACTCTCTTCTCCCTGCATCCAATCAGCTGCCAAGTCCTACCAGTTCTGTCTCCATGACATCGCTCCAATCAGTTGACTGCCTCACACAGATTCATCGCCTCTTACTTAGACTACTACGACAATTTACTAACTGTTCTTCCTACTTCTAGTCTCTCCTGTCTCCAATCCATGCTTCCACACGGCTGCCAAAATAAAGATCCAACAGCACAAGTCTGACCACAGCATGCCCCTGTTCAAGAAACTTCAGTGGCTCCCCATTACCCTTAGGATAAAACCCAAGCTCCTGAACTTAGAACTTCAAGTCCTTCACAACGTGGATCTGACCTACCTCTTCAACCTCATTACATATTTACTCAACACTGAAGCCCAAATGGCCTAACTTAGTATTAATAGTTCACTGAGCTCATTCTTCTTTCTCCTGGCTCTGTGCCTCTGTACAGCTACCCCAAGCCTAGGATGTTTTCCCTCCTCCCCCCTGGGTCCCAGAATTCCCAGCTTCTTTCAAGCCTCAGCCTCTCTTTCAGGAAGCCTTTCCCAAAAACCCTAAGGGTTAGTGTACTCTCCCTCCTCCAATTATCCTGCATTTACTTGTCTGTCTTCTTGTTTCTCCCTCCCAAGAGAAGGAAAGTTTCTCAAGGACAGGCATTGCTCTTCATTTTTGCCTTTATATTCCCCATGCTTAACATGCACAATATTTTGCACAGAATAGGTGCTTAATGAAAGTTGAATTTAAGTGAATAGGGTACCAACAAGGCAGCTTAATAACCTTCTCTTGTTAAAGGAGGAGATGGAAGATTTCTTCTGGACACTGACAGGCAGCCTGGTGTAATAAATAGGGCAATGGATTTAGACTCAGAAGATCTGGGTTCAAATCCCATGTCAGGCACTTACTGTCTAAGCCTGAGCATGGCCCTCTTCGGTCTCAGCTTCTTCACCTGTAAAATGAGAAGGCTGGACTCGCGAGTCTCTAAGTTCCCCTCTAGTTCTCAATCTATGATCCTGTGACTCATAGCTTTTTCCATCTTTCCACTCTCCAGTGGTATTCCCCAGCCACTGTGTCTACTGCAAAAACGCACTTCAGCTGCAATGATGAGGTGAGAGGGAGGCGCCACGGAAGTGAAGTCTCCCTCTAATGTCTCTGTGAAATGGAGGCGATGCTCCATTCTCCAAGGCAATGCCAGTCAAGTCCAAGCTGCGAGAGGGCCTGCCACAGTGGAATGACACTGAATATAGGCCCAGTGATGGACTATCTGCCTTTTATTTGAGTTTTAGCCTAGCTAAGTTCACAGAGACTCATCACCAGACTGGCCACAGCATGATGAAATTTTTGGTCACAGCAATTCTCAAAAACTCTACTAAGTCAATGAAGGTTTGAGATCTTCATTGGTGAAGGAAGCATGCAAACAGATAAAATCAAAGATTTCAGAAGATAAGTAGGAGGAACCTCATAAAAATAAAGATATAAATAACTAAATCAATGAACATATAAATGAATAAAATATATGTGAGAGACAGCAAAAGAGAGATAGAGTCAGTGACGAAGTGAGACAAAGAAAGACAGAGACAGAGAGAAAACTTAGGTGAGTTAGAGGCACATGATTTCACTCAATTAGATTAATGAAAGTTTAAAACACTAACAGTCTTTTCACTCCCCCTTCGGTCATTGGCTTGGTCCTCCAGCCTCTATCCTTGGAATCATTCTCCTTTCTTAACACTTCACCATCAGTCTCGGGTGGTGCTCTCTGTCCTTAAGTCCCTGGAGAAATACAATCCTTTCCAGTCTGTACTCTAGGTACACTAGCACAGTTTCAAGTCAAAACTGCCATCTGACCAAAGTCCCCTGGACTCTGCCTATTTCCTCATTCGATCCCCTCATACTGGATTTTCTGCTCTTTCTGAACCCAAATTGTCCATAACCTCCTACCTTTTTTCACAACTCCAAATTCCAGGATCAACAGCCTATCTGGAGAGCTCTTATTCCTCAGGCAACTAGGCACATGAAGTTTTCAATCAATTCACACATTCTACAAAACAGCCCAGACCCAATAACAGATCTATAGCTAAATTACATTTCTGCCCCTTTGATACCTTCACTCCCAAGAAGGAGTAATTGATACCTAATGATTCAAAGTCTCCAGACAGTCTCTCTGAAAGGATTTTTGCATCCTCCAGACAACCTCCTTCCCTGAGATACAGCAACAAATATAAATTAGCCTAAGGCACTTCACATCATAGTGTAGATGCAACTTTGGCCTCTCAAAGGCAAAGCCAGCACAAGCTCTCATAGTCCCCATCGCTAAGAAGGCTTCGTGTGCAGGCCGGGGGATACAGTGTCTGCTATATAAAGGCAACACTAGGATCAGAAAGATGAATCACCAGAAGGCTGGTCACCAAGTGAACATCACGTCAGGCCTCAGTGAAGAACTATGAGCTTAGGAAGAGAGTGGTTATGATTCATGAGGGCAAAGGTAGTACCCACAGTAATGAAACACACATATTTGCAGAAAAGAAAACAATGTATGCCTTGAAACCAAATACTGCCTACCTCTAATAACAACTTCAGTATGTTGTGGAGAAGAATTATTATCTTCTAGTCCATATGAATTTTGCAAATCATATACTTTTAAGTGTCAGCGTGTCACTACCACATAGATGGTGAACAGCATTGTCTGAGGTGTTTTATTCTCATATATCCTATGAGCAAGGCAGAGAGGGGCTCCAGAGTGTATGGGACAAAGAACACGAAAGGTCCTTAATAACAATGTATGCATCTGAATATTAAGATTAAAATTATATCACCAGATCAAAGAGTTGATGTGCACCTACACTAGTATAACTTACAGTTTCTGAACCTCAGGCCACAGCGTATTTTGTAAAAGATGGTCCTCGGTAGGAGGTTCTATAAAAAACAAAAAGACACTTTGCATTAAGTATTTTTTGCTTTTTTCTTAAAAAGTCAGTTTGGCTCTTTATTACAACCAACAGTTACTGCATTAAGAATATTTTCCATTTCTTACCAATAAGTTTGAAGGACTGAAAGCAAATGTCCTGGTACTGACGACCAACACCAACAAATCCGTCTTCTTCTTCAGCTGACTGCGAAGTTATGTCTCCTATTTTAAGGAAATAAATACAAAGATAGTCAAAGGTACTGACCTATCACCTCTTCATTTTCTCTCCTCAAATTTTTCAAAATCAAATGAGATAATGCACGTAGTGAAGCTCCATGCAAACCTCACGTGAATGGTAGCTATCATTATTATTATTGAAAGGCAGTGTGGCACAATGAACAGAGAGCTGGTCTTGGAGTCAGGGTTACAGTCCTGCCTCTGACACACACAGTCTCTTTGATCCTAGACAATTTACTCTGCTTCACCTTTCAGTGCCCTGCGTGACTCTTAAAATTAAACTGCACAACTTCACATGTATAAACAATAATATCAAATTGATTGCCTTCTCAAGGCATGGGAGGGAGAAAATTTGGAACTCAGAATTTTAAAAAATGGTTTTACATGTAACTGGTAAATACTTAACAAAACAAATAAAAATATATTAAAAAAAAAAAAAGAACTAAACTGCAGAACTGGCCATCTAAATTGGAAGAGGGAACTTTCTCACCAGGAGATCCCTACACCCATGAAATCAAAAGTCCACATCAAAATAAAAATGATTACCATTTTTTTCAAGTCTTCATCAAAATTCTTTCCATATAAAAGTCAAAAGTCATAAAGAAGTTGCAAAGAATAACTGCATTAGGCCTATACTTTTTTGGATATCAGGCCTCCTCATTCATGCCAAGCAGGGTGATACTGAGGCTCAAAGGTCACCAAGACATAGCCAATCAGTCATATTTTATCTAATGACTAAGTAATCCATGTCTTAGTAGCCTATGAGGAAGAAAGGAAGAGTCATGGTAGTTTGTAGCTGCTTATCTTGAATCAATGAATCAATCAATAAACATTTATTAAGCATCTACTATGCCCAAGGCACTGTGTTAAGTACTAGAGTATTGCAGTACTGGGGGGAAGGGTAAGAAATAGGAGGGGATCTTGGTGTGCCACTCAGAATAAAGCTGGGAAATTGGAGAACTAAGTGAGAAAAAGATACGATCAGAGATGCAAAATTAAATACAGGAGGAATAGAGACAAATTTTGAACAACTGCTATTAAGAGGTAATATTGTAAAATTGTGAAGGAATGCATCATGAAAACAAGTTGCAGTGTATAAGATTATAAATGAGCAAGAAAGTTTTTGTTCAAAGAGCTCTCAGGTCAAACACGGAGCCATGTACCAGAGCTCTATAACCCTTAAAGTGACCCATGTCAGCAGGAGCTATTATTGAACCGATGACCTGTTCTGTGGAAGATAAAGTTGCGGGCATAAGACTATTTATTACCTTTGTTTTATTACTAATCATTACCTTTGTTTGCCACAAAGGCTAACAGCACAAAAAAATAATTCTATCTCCTAACTTTTGGGAGAATTTTCAACTCCACTTTTACATTGCCAGTAATATCAAATTACGGTAACAGATTCCACTATGTTTTTACAGATGGAGTTTTCTCAACTAAGAAAAAAAAACACAACCCTAATATACAACATACTCCATCTGTGATGAAATTGAATTTTCCTGCTCCAAAATTGCCTTCAGATGATTAACTCTTTTAAGAAAACTAAATCAATTAGTTCAAACAGGAATTTCTGTTATCACAGAAATGATTCTGTCAATATGGAAACTTGTACCAAAACAGACTTTAACCTATCTATCTCTCAGTTAAGTCTTAGGAAACTAACTACTTATGGTTCAGTAAGATTAAGGGACTAACTCATGGTCATAAAGCTAGTGAATGGCAAGCCCTCTATCCAAGAAAGGATATGGGGCCCCTCACATATTCACATAGGAAATGATATCTGATAACTTACATGTTATCAATGCCCTTAATAATGAATTTTAAAATTTATCCTGTTTTTATGCATTTCAAAATTTTAAGTTGCCTGAAGTTCTTTTTAGAAGTGTATAAATCCTAAATAAATAGTAAAAGTATATAGCTTAAATTTGAAATTATCCAAATAAAATTGATAAAATGTCCATATTCTTTGACCCAGAGATTCCACTGGAAGGCATATAAAGGAGGTCATTGATAAAAAGAATGTCCCCCATATACACCAAAATACTTTTTTCTGGAATCACCAAATGGAACATTACTATGCTGTAAGAAACAATGAATATGACTACAGAGGTGCATGGAATGACCTCCATGAACTGATGAAGACTGAAGTAAGCAAAGCCAAGAAAACAATACATATACACAGTGACCACAACAATGTAAATGCAGAAAAATAACCATCACAAAACAATAGAAAATGAATGCTATAAAATTATGGAGGACAAGCTTGGACCCAAAGAAGAGATATTGAGAAGAGCTATGGACCGCCTTTGCAGAGGCAGAGGCTCCACAGGTGTAGAACACTGCATATACTGTCAGATTTTTTCAATGTTTTGATTTGCTGATTTTTTTTCACTTCTTTTTAATTTTTTAAAAAAGTCTTTGCTATATGGGACAGCTCCCATTGTTATATGGGAGGGATACAGGTGATATAAAAACAAAAGCTATCAATAAAAATTTATTTTTAAAAAAAATAGCTCATGTTCTTCCTGTTCTATAGCATTTTTGATTTATAAAGCACTTTCCTCATAACAAGCCTGTAAGAGAGGGAGTAGAAGCATCACTATCCCAACTCCACAGATGAGGACCTCAGGTTTGTATAAGTTAACTGACCTGCCCATAGTCACACAGCATCAAAGCTGTGATTCAAACATAGACCATCTAACTTCAAGCCTAGGACTCTTCCCACTAGACCATCCAGCCTTTCTACTGACTAAACCAGGTATCAAATTGAAGTTGTATGTTTATTTACACCTTGCTACTAAATAAGTTATTTCCCAGAGCCTAATATAATGCCTTGTATATAGTATGCACATAACAAATATTTTTAACTGAGCTGATTTATTCAGAATATAGCTGGTCCTTAGCTAAGATTTTTAAATTTACCTTATTCATTGTTATCTCCCTCAGAGGGATATATGGGTGGGCACTTCAAAAATGGCATACTTGATTTGTGAGAATGAATCTATAACCTCAGTAGTCAGGAAACTCACCAGACATTAAACAGAGAGGTTTATAAGCACAGTTACAGAGAGTAGTGTGAGTTAGTAATTGCAGCTTCAGTGATTAAAGGTGCTAGAGACTTACCCTGAAAAACAGCTTTGTTGGAGAGTCCCAAAGAAGGCACTGTAGCACCTTCTGGAAGGTCACTGTCCTGCTAAAAAAAAAAGTGAGATATCCAGATTTTAAGAAACATAAATTACTAAGAGGTGAAGACACTACACTAGCATTAAAAAAGGGTGAGAAGTAATAGGAAATCATGAGTAGCCTGAAGTCACTTTGTTGACCATTCAGCACAGGTCCTGTGGAGTCACCAACCCCCTACTCTCTCCTCCAATAAGCTGTATACCTCCTCCTCCATCCAGCTCCCCACCTCCCACAATCACGTGATTGTCATGAAGGAAAGGGATGTAGAAGAGAGGTTCAAGAGGATAATGCAGGAGTAAGTGTCAGCAAGAAAATTCACATATCTTAAGTTTTTTGATTTGGGCAAGGTGATTGAACTGTAATGGTGCACAATATGTGGTCATGGGTGTGAGAAAGGGGTGACATTAAATTGCAGTGGTTTGTGGCTGCAGTCCGCACAGAAGGGGAAAGAACGTTGGTTGGGAGAAGAATGTTTTATAGGCTATGATTAAAGGGATTATGCTGTAATTTCTAACATTATATTATAAGGTCTTAGAGAGGTAGGTATTGTTTTTATCTTTTTATCCCAAACACCTAGCCTGGTGTTCTGAATAAGGCATTCAGGTTTTGGAATTAAGAACATTTAGGCTCAGATTCCACCTTAGCCACTTAGTAGCTGTCTGATCCTGGGCAAACCATTTAACTTATGCAACTATTATGCATTAAATATATTTTTAATATGTTAAAACCACATATTAACACCTCTATGCGCCTCAGTCTCCTAACCCGTAAAATGAGGTGGTCTGATGCAATAACCACTAAGCACCTAGAGCTGTAAATCTACGATCCAATGATCCAGAATCCTCATACCAGTCTTTGGCCCCCTCTCTACTCTCCAGAGGTTTTCCTCACCCATGGTGTCTATTAAAAGTTAATATACAATCCAGACCCTTGCCCAGCCTGTATTTTCCCTCCTCAACTGTTTTTCCTACAGTCAAAATGATGAGAATAAGCTCAACACAGGAGAATGATCTCTCTTCCTAAATCTTCCCCAGAGTATCCCAGAATCTCATTCTCCTCTCCTTCACCCTTTCACTGCTCAAAGTATATGTTAAAGGCCAGGGAATTAAGGCAGCAACATGGTTTTTAATAGACATTTCCTTTTAAATATCTCCTGGGGTTGCCTCTTCCTCTCCATTAACACACACACACATAAACCCACTCACCCAGGACACCTTTCTAGCAGGCCTCCCTGACCCTTAGTCTCTTTTTGTTCAAATTTCTTTACATGCTGTTTCTAACCTTACTTTCCTAAAACACTTGTTTTATCAGGTGCTTCCTCTGTTCAAGAACCTACAGTGGCTCCCTAGTGTCACCATACCAAATGCAAATTCCTCCCTCTGGCTTTTAAGATCTTACATAATTTGGCCTCCTCTTATCCATCCCACTTTATACTCACTATTTTAGTCAGCCAGTTCCATCCACTGTCCCTCAAATGCAATAGTTCTTACCTCTCTCTCTGCAATTCCCTCTGGCTAGAAGGTCCTGCTTCCCTCCCTTCTACTTCCATAAATCATTGCTTCCTTCAAGGTCTAATTTATCTTCCTTCTCTTCCATGGAGTCTTTTTTTTTTTTTAAGGCAATTGGGGTTAAGTGACTTGCCCAGGGTCACACAGCTAGTAAGTGTCAAGTGTTTGGTCCGAGGCCGGATTTGAACTCAGGTCCTCCTGACGTCAGGGCCGGTGCTCTGTTCACTGAACCACCCAGTTGCCCCCTCTTCCATGGAGTCTTCCCCCAACTTATTTCAGCCTACATTCTTTTTTCCCTTCTCTGAGTCCTTTTTGCACCCATAATCAGTTCCATACAGTTTAACACTTAACTATCCTGTAATTATTTCATACTACCCACTACAGTCTCTCCAGCAAGGCTATAATATTCTGGAGAGAAGGGTCCATATCTTTTACTTCTTGTGCATGTCGCACAATGCCAAGCTCAAAATAATCCTTGATAAACATTCATTCATAAAATATTGTACTTTGAACAATGCAATAATGAGGTGAAAGTTAACTCTGTTGTGTATTAATCTGAAATTTGAATGCTGCTTTAGAATCCTTCTACCCTCTTTGCAGACACAAACATTCTTATTCTTAAAACACATATATCTGTAAGCCAGCAGGTCCACAATCATTTATGGCAAGTCAGTAGTACAGAAGTTGATTTTATTTTTCTTACAATTTATACATAGTATGTATAGCTTGGAAGATAAGGAAATGGGATACAGCATTTCTTTAGGCCGGAATGATCAAGTTTAAAACTAAGATACTTCATTCAATTAAAAATGATTTATACTTACACTAGAAAGTAGTTTCTTCACTGTGTGCCCAGTGATGTTACAGAAGTTCTCCACAAAGTTTCTTGGAGCTGAGAAGACTCGAAGCACTTTTTCATCTGCTCCAGATACAAACTGAAACCTACCAATCATTGCTAGACACTTCATGTCAAACCCATGTATCTGAGGCCTTGCAATTTCATGCCAAGTTATCTAGTTACAAGATAGAAAAACAACCCAACACTACTTTAATCTAGTAAATTGTACATTTTGAACAAATAAAGTGTTTTAGACTCAATGGGAGCAAATCATTCCATCTTTTATTTACATTCTTGGATTCTGCCCAAAAAAGGCTGAGGAAAAGCATTACTATAAAACTGAAGTACTAGGAGAAAACCTGAGTCAGGTAAAAAAAAAAATGGAGAGAAAACTTTTGAGATGACAGTGCTAAACATTCACATTATTAGCAGGTGCCACTCTCCCCCACAGGAAATGTTTCCCACCTTCTGCAAGAAGCCTTTCCTGGTCCCTCTTAATGTGAGTGCCAGAACTCTGTGGTTATCTCCAGTAATTCCTGTGTATATCTCGTTTGTACATGTTTGTTTCCACCTCGTCCCCCCCAATAGCCTGTGAGCTCCTTGATGATGGGTACTGTTCTTTACCTTCCTCTGCATCTACAGCACTTAGCACAATGCCTGAAGGAGTAGATACTTAATAAATGCTTCTTGACTTGACTTACCAACTTCCTGATCTACAAGAGACTGACATAAAGTTCATTATTTAGATTCCGAGAAAAAGAACATTTAATTCCATAGGAAGATATGTTATGTCTAAGAATAAAACTAACTCTCTTATTTCAATGAAATACCCTCTCTACCTTTAAAGTTGTTTTTAAAACAACTTATTTATTTGCAAGTATTTGACTTATTTATTTGCAAGTATTTGGGAGTTTGGGGAAACATTCTAATATTATTGATCTCATTCCCCTCCCTCTTGACTAACAAAGCAGGTGGATAAATAGGACGTGCATAGTGGTAACTAGTGAACATTTATTGAAGATGCCTCACAATTCCACTTATTAAATCCTCAAGAATTATTTCTCACTGTCAACATTCCAAAGAAATTTATTTCAGCAAGAGAGAGGGAAAGCATTTATCTAGAATATTAAAACATCATCTGCCAAATGGAAGCCTTATGGGCAAAGTAATGAGTATACATAGTCTAGGCAAAAGAACTGCATTTGGTACAAAAGGTCAGATATGACCCTATAAGAAGCACACAAATTTTTATATAATCTCTCATTTCTAGCTGCCATCTAAACTAGCAACTATTGACCTACTCTTTTGAACCCTCACAATTTGTATAAATAACCTGATGCTTGGAGAAATTAATATTTATCCATCACCAGGTTATCATTACCAAATTGATAACCATAGAGATAATACTTCATCCATCCTACCAAGAATTACATTACCTAACCTACAAAGGCTGTCCCCTTTGTGGGGCTAGGGCTTTAAGGGAATTACGAAAACTATCACCACCACCACCCATAATACTCTTCTCTAACTACAGAAGAAACAACCAGGTCCACAGAGAGAACTATGGCAGTCCGTTGACAGAGTCAACCCATAAAAAGGTGATGGCAAAGAAGCTGAATGCAGAATGCCATAGTCTGATGTTGATATCATTTTTCTTGCTCAAGAACAATTGGATCCAGTTCCTCATTGTAAGCCAAAGAGGCTTACATTCTGAGTCTCTCAGAATGGGGACATGAACATGAATTAGGTCTGACACTGGGATGTTTCACAGCTCTACGCTTAGATGCAACCCAAAATGCTGACAGCACACCCAGTAGTGCCCTTCAGGCCTAGTCTGTAGCTACTCTACAAAATCCCAAAGATCAATACAGATCTGGATGAACGTGGCCTGAGAAGCAAAGCTTCAGGGCAGCTAGGTGGCGCAACGGATGGAGCACTAGCCCTGGAGTCAGGATGACTTGAGTTCAAATCCAACCTCAGACACATAACACTTCCTAGCTGTGTGACTCTGGGTAAGTCACTTAACCCAACTGCCTCACCAAAAAAAAAAAAAAAAAGAAGAAGAAGAAGAAGAAGAAACAAAGCTTCCCAGAGACAATAAAGAGATTGGGTCAAGGGGGAGCTGGAGTGTCACAAATGACTCAAAGCTGGGAATATGTTACAATTACAAAAGAGGAATATAGGCTTTTAATATATGTGGCACAGATCAAGGTAATCAAATGTAGAAGCAAACTTTAAATTTATATTTGTCATATGTTATCTAAGTATACACACATGTGGGTGGGTGAAGTGTATATAGCTAAACAAAATTTTTAAAGCTGATTTGGTTCCATTTGAGGACGATGTTATTTCTCACCTATACAAAGGATTATTCAATCTTTCAACCTCCTCTATGACTATATCGATATTACTTAGCATGTAAAATTCAGAAAAAAATTTACCTGTGAATCATTTTTTTTCCTCCATGGAGCAAAGAGCCGAGTTGTCTGGTCAGCACTCACAGTCATGAGAAATTCTCCTTCTGGATCCCACCTTAGATCCTGTACACTATTAAAGTGCCCAGAAATCACAACTCCTGGAGCCCATTCTTTCTGCACAGAAAAAGTACATAACGTATAACATCACCAAGTGACAGCACTAGGCATCGCTAGAGGACTTTATGGTTTTTGGTGCAATTTCATTTATACATAAGTCTAGCAAAAATCCTCTGAGATAAGCAGGGAAGACATTATCTATCCTCATTGTATAGATGAATAAATTGAGATTCAGTTCAATTAAGTAACATGGCTAGTAAGTAGAGTCAAAAGAGAAACAAAGTCCTCTTACTCTTAATCCAATACCCTTTCCACTATATTGACACTCCTCAAATGCAAAAAAGAAAAGTGAGTGACTTTGATAATAAGAGTAAAACCACTAAAAGAAGCGATATAACATAAGAGTGGCAAAAACGGACTTGGAGAACCAAAGAGAATGGAAGCCATGTGTATGAAGTATGACTATAAAGTACCACCACTGATTTTCTAGCAAACATGGGAGAGCTTAGACATCCACATGAGTGTTGTGCCTTCCCTTCCCTTTCACAGTAGTCACATTACAATGTTAAATACTCTTACTCCAGTGATGTTGCTAGTAGTCAAAACCTTCTTCAAATTCCTTTTCTAGAACTGCTTCAGAACCGGTGGCACTTTTGAGAAAATGTTGCCAATGGTGGTAAATCTCTATTCATTGAGGGTGGATTTAAAAAAAAAATCAGTACAGAGTTGCTCAGTTCCAAGTATGCTAAACAAGGCTGGGAATCAAGTGAGGTAACAACTTTTAATTTTAAAATGAGGTGTGGCTATAAAGTAACAAAATGGATTTTATCACATAAATTGACTGTAAAGGAAAACTTCAAAAGAAAACTTCCAAAACTGAGTTAAGCAATAGCACACATCATATGAGTAAGTACAAAGTCTTTCCTAATGGGACTAACTTGGATAGATCAGTTCTAACTTGCCTGTTTAAAATGCAGTCTCATTACTTAAAATTTCCTCTCATAACTATGCTATCTTCCCTTAAAGGCATAAAGATGGTATTCAGTAAACTTTGCCTTTTGTCATTTACTGTTTCCAATCTTCCCACATAGTGTATCTTTTTGCAATGTTTCTCAAAGACTAACTGAAGGACAGCTCAGAAGGGGCACAGAAGATTAGTAATAAAATTAAAGGCAATTGTACAATGAGAAAACTAGGAAACTTTTTAAAAAACCATATACTTTAATGGATAACCTTGTGGACCAATATATGTGCAAAAGCTAAATATTTTATTTGCTGGAACTATTAATAGTATGTTTAAAGGAGAATGCAATGAAGAAAACAACCCAACACTTAAAATGTAGAAAGGAGGGAATACCCTTTTATTCTAAGAGGTCAGACTTCAGTGAATCTCAACCATCTAAAATAGAAAATATACTTTTTAAAAGCCTCTGAGCCACAAAAGTATTACTATAAATTTACAATTTATTGAATTTTAATTTATGTACAGTTTTAACAAGCATGGATATATTTAAGTTTTCTGACTAAAGCAAATTAAAAACTAAATACTCCAACAGGACAAGGGGTGGCAGAGAGCTAACTTAAGGAAGAGAAATAAAAGCTTTCAAAAGGCAGACATGATGACTGTAAAAGCATTAGAATCTGAGGTCACTTAGAGTGGCCTATATAGAGAGCCCTCTATTTCGTAACAGCTCCTGAGAGCAGCACATATCATAGCACATTAATGTCACTAATGTTAATAATGATGGCCCTCAGTCAGCAACAAAAGGCTAAATTACATTGAACACTGTTGTTCAGTCGTGTCTGACTCTTTATGACCCCATGGACCATAGCATGCCAATGCTGTCCATGGGGTTTTCTTGGCAAAGATACTGAAGTAGTTTGCCATTTCCTACTCTAGCTCATTTCACAGATGAGGAAACTGAGGCAAACAGGATTAAATGACTTGCCCAGGTCACACAGCTAGTAAATGTCTGAGAACAGATTTGAACTCGGGACTTCTTGATTCCAGGCCCAGTGTGCTATCACACTGAGCCACTTAGCCGCCTTACGAACATATTCCATTTAAAAAGTTAGGGAAGGAAGGGAGTAGAATGTTTTTAGAAACATTTCTAACAAATATGATTTTAAAATGTTTTAGGTATCTAACAACTCATTTTTGTGGAATACCTCATTCTCCAATGATGCCAAACAGTTACTATATATGGTAAAGCCAGCGTCTCACAACTAACAACTGTTGAGACACAAGTACAGGAATCAAACTGAGATCATCGATTTTAAAAGACCCCTGTTTTCAAAAAGGGAAATTAAAAAACAAAACAAAATCAAAAACCCCACTACTCAAAGCAGCTATTATTAGGCTCCAAAAGAACCTTACCAGAAACAATGGAAGAAAACCCTCTTACCGAACCAACTGCATGTTGCTTCCAAAGGTGCAATGCTCCGTGGAAAGCATGGGCTAGGATCGTGGAGCCATCGGGGCTAAACTGGCAGTCATAAAACCCCAGGGTGTTCCCACCCACTTCACCTACTCGTACCTAGGCAACCAATGAAAGAAAACAGCTGTAAGGAAATATCCCATATTAAAAGCACATTACAGTAAATTCATTATTTGTGTAATATTTACCAAAAGGAAAAGTTTGCAGCTATGGCAATTCATTTTTAGAAATGTAAAAGTCTAATTTATAAAATAATAATTACTGTAAACTAAACAAATATTTAATTTCACCCAGCAGACATTTATTATCCAAATGTAACGCGACTTAGCCAGGGCTGAGGATATAAAGAAAATATGAGACAACGCCTACCCTTAAGGCGTCTACAAGGCAGTAGAGGAGATGAAACATCTGTCTTTACCTGCTCCAGCCACACTCCTGACTCTTCATCAGGAGCCCAGAGAATCATGGTTTTATCCATTGAGGCAGACAACAATCTCATTGGCTGCTGAATCACATCACCTAAGGAGTAAAAAATACATTGTTACCTCTAGAATACACTTAAGCTCTATTTAACAAAAAATCATATCAGGCGGTCTTTTAAGTTTAAACTCAGCCTGTGAGCTGAGTCACTGGAAAGGGTCTATGACTTCCTATGAACCCCAAACATGGTCATTTTGCTACTTAATTAGCTCCAGTAGCAGCATCCCTCTATATACTATATAAACATACATTCTGTAGATTGAATAAATACTATGCACAGTTAGCACATATGCATATTACTGTATTTCAAACATATGTAGACACTGTGGTAAATAAAACACAAATTCACTTAAAAGCATTAATGAATTCATAGTAATTTTTGTCATTCACTATGCATTTTCTCAATCAATGGATACTCATGGTACCCCTACTCCGGGGTTATGAAGGGTCCTCATATTTGAAAATACTAGGTACCACTGCCTTGGAGTCTAATACCTTAACATCACAAGTTTTTCAAATTTTTCTATACTCTGGCAAGTCTAATTAAAAACCCAATTTTCGAGAGATGTTACATCTAATATGCTTGACTATGTACTCCTTAGAAATTGGCAAGCATCATTTTCGTTGCTTTTTTTTTGCTACTTTAGTTGTCCTGTGACACCTTTATTTCTCTAACCTTCTACTACAACCCTTTCACCCACCCTGGGTTATTGTCACGATTGACGGCCTCTGACCTAGTATCTGTAGTGCAAAATACAGTGGGACAGTCTTCTAAACAAGCCTATGGTCTACAGACAAAACCTCACACAGAGATTACTGACTCACTCACTCCTCATAGCAGCTATGCCAAAGCTGCTCATTTCTCCCTAACATACCAATCCTCTCTCATGTGAAGAAAATTCCATCACATCTCCTGTCTCCAAGAATGACATCTAGTCTGAGCTACCTATATATTCTCTTTTTCACCTTTACTTCTTGCTTCTATATCTATCCTTTCTCATCATTTCTTGCCGCCACATAAGAAACTGTCTTTCTTTAAAAGAATTTTTCCCACATGTGCCAAAATATTTATAACAGCACTTTTTGTGACAGCAAAGAGCTGGAAACAAGGTAGATGCCCACTGACTGGGGAATGGCTAAACAAATTGTAGTACATAAATGTCAAGGAGTATTACTGTGCTATTAAAAAAAAAGATGAATATGGCCAAAAAAAAAAGATGAATATGATGAATAAAGAGAAGCAAAGACAGACTTCTATGAACTGATGGCAAAGTGAAGTAAGGAGAACCAAGAAAATAATATACACATTGACCACAACACTGTAAACAGAAAGAACCACAGTGGAAAAAAATGAATGTTCCAAAATCACAAAAATAAGCATGGCTGGAAAGAAGATATATAAGAAAATACTCTAACCATGCTCCTTTGCAAAGTATGGTGATGTTAAGAAAAACAAAACTTTTTTTTTAAAAAACTTACTTAGAACAAAGCAAAAAAAAATTTAAAAAAAAAAGAATTCCCTTCCTTTTGCCTTAATTCTACTATTTCTCACCTCCCATGAGAATTTGTTTCTATACTCATTCTTTCCTCCCTTTACATCCTTATTTTCTTTCCTTGTCAATTTCCCTGTTGCCTTCATTCATACATCTCTTCCCTCAAAAAAAAAAGATTCACTTAAATTGGCTGCCCTTCAAATTGGGATATTGTGCTATACCTACCTTTCATTGGCTCATTACTTTCATAGGCAATCTATAACCATTACTGCCAAAGTTTTCTTCCTTTTACCACCCTGAAAATACCACCACTCACATTTCTACAGCACCTTACAATGTACAAAATACTTTCCTCACCACATTCTTGTGACCTGAACAGTACATTATGCACATCTTACAGATGAGCAAACTGAGGCTCAGACAAGCAAAGCCAAGTGCCATTTTAGTGTCCAAGCCAGATTCGAACCTAGGTCTCCTGATCCCAAAGCTTGCATTTAGTCCCACCATGGGAACTGTTTTTTAAACTACAGCCTAGTTCCTGCCCCTATTACTCCAATGAATACTAACTACTACATGAAGGCCATTTCTTTACCTTTATACCATCCTAATGCCTTGGGAACAAAATGACAAACAGACTCCCATGAAGACAAATGAAGACATTGTCTTTTTACACATAAACAAATATCCACCCATCCTTTTTAATTTTTTGTTATAAAGGATGACTCTCCAGAAGGGGGAGGGGCAAATTTGGAAAGAAAGGTGATAAAAAAAATAGAAGACAGCAATAAAAATTTTAATTAAAAAATAAATACAGTTTTGGGTTAAAACCTATGCTGGGTAAACTTGAATGATAGTCAATGGGCATCTGAGGCCATCTGAGCAGTCAGTCACCCTAGAAACTATTTACTTGAAGAACTCTAATCCTATATCCATCATCTAATTTACTAATTCAATGATTTGTATACTAGTTTGGTCAGGAAGTCTTTGGGTCTCTGGCACTAGTTCATACTATCTACCTACCCACTTTTGTCTTATATCAACTGGTAATATAGATATTGGGAAAAAACGAAGCAATGGGAGAACCACTTGTTTCACTGCTTTATGACTACAAAGAGATACATGTTTTGAAGGAGTTCAGAAGCCCCAGAGCTTGTATTCCAAGGCAAAACGGAGTCCATTGTTCTGGTACACATAACAATGCAAGTCAGTTCAGTTATCCTCACATCCCAGTAGAGTTAATTATAAACTGAACTCTTATGTAAACCTTGCTTTCCCCACACTGTAAAATCAGAGTTGTGATCCCTAAAAAGAAATCAGAAACTCTTCAAAAGAATAAGATGAACATTTGTTGATTAGCTCCATGGCATGCCAGAAATTATAGGTTTATAAACCAAAAACTGTAGCTCTCATTTAGTAGTTCACATTTCTTTTCATTTGCCAACCCCTCCTCCCCACCATGTTCTCCCACCATGGTTATCTTTCTACAGACCAGACCACAGAAGTTTTTCAAACACTAACAGATTCCTTGAGTTCATACACTTAGCTCCGAGAGCCTTGTTTCTCCATTTCTCCTTTGGTTTGGTAGTTATAGTGTATAATACAGAACTGCTATGATATCACATAGTCAATAGGTATGATTATTTAACATGACCTCCAAAGTGAAAATTTATTAGATTGAATACCAATTACATATAAAGAATTACATATAAAGAATTACTGTAACCATCTGGTCAGTTAAATATTTAGTAAACCTCCATTTATCTCTTTCCTACCTGAGTAAAATGAAGGCTGCCAATGAACAGCATTTACCCAGTTTTCATGACCAGCTAACACTGTCTCCAGAGTAACGGCATACGTTGCCTCAGCACCTACAACAAAAGGCAATGAAATTACTGATTTGTAAAATCAGAAATCATGACATCTCAAAGGCAGAAAGGTCCTTAGAGAACATCTGGCCCAATAACTTCATTTCACAAATGAGGAAACTGGGATCCAGACAAGTGCATGGCTTGCCCAAGATGACACAGCTGCAGAGCCAGGACGAGAGCCCGGGTCTTGTCACTCTAAGGCCAACACTCTTAGCACACACTGCTGCCCAAGCTCTTCCCCAAAGAACCAACAGAATGTTCAGAATTAACCCAGGTGTGCAAGAAATGTTAATGCTCAAGAAAACAGGATATACAACTTTTAAGTAAATGCAAGACATTCTAAATGTCTTTTCCTTTATCCATGCAATGGGACTTACGTAAGAGGAAAGTTTTAAAGACTTAGTTTTAAGCTTACCATACTAAAACCAACTTATTAATGAAATATAAAAATGAATTTATCAAATATTTCTTTAAGCCTTGAGACACCTGCCATCCCAATAAAATCTCTGTCCCAAAGGTAGTGACTGGTTCAAGATCACAAGAACAGCAAGTGACAAAGACAATACGCAAACTCAGGCTTTAGAGTTGAGTGCTCTGCACTTTTGAAAAAGTCTGTACTTTGAAACCTTAAATCAAAAGAATTAATAAAAATCCCCAAAGAATATACCCTTGTTAAGTGTTAGATTGAATAAGTTTAGGGTATCTATAATTTAATATAAAGTACCTTCTCCCTTCCTCCATTTATTTTAAAGTATGCTAACTATAGACTATAATAATGACCACTTAAGAGTATGTAGGTACTTTGTATGGGCAGTGAGGGTGAAATCAAGCACAGTGTGGGAGAACAAAGTAACAGGTACAAAACACTGCCAACAATATATCCTGAAAGTGTTATCAAAGACAATTTAAAAAAAGAGTTCTCTGTTTTAATACTGTCACAGGAGCATTATATGTCATTTCAAAAAAGATGAAAATGGGGCAGCGAGGTGGCGCGGTGGATAGAGCCTCAGCCTTGGAGTCAGGAGGACCTGAGTTCAAATCCGGCCTCAGACCAACCACTTGACACTTACTAACTGTGTGACCCTGGACAAGTCACTTAACCCCAATTGCCTTAAAAAAAAAAACTACAGACCATAGATTTAGAGGTAGCAGGGTCCCCAAAGGTCATCTATTCCAACCTCCTCATTTTACAGATGAGACAAGTAGCACTCAGAGTGGACATGACCTGTCCAAGGTCTCACAGGTAGCAAATGGCAGATCCACGCTTTGAGCCCAAATGCTCTGATTCCAAATCCAGTACTCTTTCCACTATACCATAAAGCCTAGTTGTTAGTAAGATCTTTACATTGGGGGCAGCTAGGTGGTGCAGTGGATAGAGCACCAGCCCTGAAGTCAGGAGGACCTGAGTTCAAATCCAGCCTCAGACCAAACACTTGACACTTACTGGCTGTGGGACCCTGGACAAGTCACTTAACCCCAACTGCCTTAAAAAAAAAAAAAACAAAAAAAAAAAAACCCTAACAAACAAACAAACAAAAAAGGTGAAAATAAACTAAATGTCAGCGATAAAATAATAGTTAAATAAATTGTGCTACATTAATGTAATGGCATGTAATGTAATTAAGACCAGCAAGTGTGAGAAATGCAAAAAGAAACCTGGAAAAATCTTTGCGAAATAATGCAAAGTGAAAAAGGCAGAGCCAGAAGAATGGAATACACATTATTATCATGTAAGGAAAAGTAAATGAGAATGACAGGAAAAAGAATTCCAATGGGGACTTAAGTGACAGTATTATATTTCATGTATCAACACTAATTCAAATATAGTGACTTAAATAAGTTTAGTTTGTTTGTATTGTCATTCAATGTTTTTATTATAACATAAAAGTGAGATAACTTCTTGCCTAAGAAGAATCAGAGTTCAAACACAACAGTGTGCACATTTAACCCTTTCATTACAGAATACTGTTATAATTGAACAATACTTATAAATATTAACTTGTAACTATAGGTTTCCTTAAGAAAGAGATATTCAAGTATATAATAATACTAATAAACAGGCAGCAGTGTTTCCATGTTTTGTACATAGAAAAGCCTAATTTTATAGAACATATCTGAATACTGTGATTATTTTGTCCATTGTAAATATGTGAGTACGTGTATGTAAGAAGCAGTGTGAGAAAATGAAGAGATATCTGGTTCTGGAAGTCAGAAGCCTTATTCAAGCCCTGTGTCTGATCCATGATAACTGTATGACTGTGGGCAAGTCACTTATCCCAGGAATTCTTGAAGATTTTAAGTGGTAAGTGACAACGTAGGGAGTGAGGGGCACTGGCAGAGGAAAATTCCTCACTAAACCTTTTTCACACCAATGAAATCACAGATTGTCCCAAAAAAAAAAATGCATTATTCACACCACTGATATTTTTAAAAGTTTAAATGTGCCCCTAAATTAGTTTTCACTTTAGAACTGCCAATTCACCAATGTTTATAAAGTTACTTACAGCAATATTTTATATTACAAAATTTTTCTTGTAACATATTGTCACAATTTTGACCTTACATACTGCTATGCACTTATTCAAATCAAGTCTATTCTATGTGGACCATATGGAAATATTTTACACCATCAAACATTTCACTTTCAAGGAAATTATTTCAGATTAATCATTATCATAAAAGGAAAACTCATAAACTACTTTTTGATAGAGAATTGACAATTATAGGGAAATAACCTTCAAATTACTCATTTAGTGAAAAGGCTAAATGAGCCAAAGAGATGGGAACAAACCAAGGATTTCTATATCCTAACAATTTTGTTACTACTCACTTTCATTTTTCAGAGTAAAAGTATTTTCCTTCAGCTTTATATCATCATCTTCTTGAATTTCTAAGGATGTTGATTTTACATACAATTTCCAGACCCTTATCAAACAGTCTTGGGAACAGCTTGCTAAAAAAAGATCTTTTCCTAATGGAGAAAAATGACAAATTAATATTATGTTCTAAAAATTATTTAAAATAGTCTCTTTCTTCCACTGAGCACACTCTAGGATTTTGTTTATATGTTTCCTTCCCCAACGTTACACTTACAATATTTTGAAAAACCTCCTACACAACACAGTGCTACATAATTTATATAAAATGCCACATTCTTACATTTAATCTGTTATGTTAGGGAATCATAAGGTAACAGGGAAAATTGTTCACATAAAGGCTCAAAATAGATCTTTACAATCTCAAGAAGACAATTTTTTACATGGACATTTCTCAAAAAGTTGCTTTCCCACAGAACGCTAAGTTGCTTAAGTTTTCTAAGTCCTGTCAAACTGCTTTATTCTATCTACTCTTACTGACATTCAAGAGAAAGGGTAATAATAATAATAATAGCCAACATTATTGTTTAAAAAGATGAGAAACTTTTGTTCTAATAAGGAATAAAGAATGGGAGTTATAAGAGAAGTGAAATAAAAAGGGAAATTGTATATTTCTTTGCCAGAATCTTAGAGAGACATGACACATACTTGCTTCTATCACATAATAGTTTGTTGAGTTTTATACTGACCAAAGGTTGCCCATTCAACTCCTCTTATCCAATCCTCATGTCCAGAGAGCAAAAGCATTTTGTGAAACTAAACAAAACAAGATGACAAAATTTTTTTAGGTATTCAATGTATCAACACACATCAAGAACCTAACTTATCCTCAAAAGTCCACACCCACAGCCATCTTCTTATCTGGATAGAGTACCAACTCTGCATAGGGTAATGTAAACTAGTCACGTATCATTTAAATTCTCAATTAAATTGGGAATCAAAAGTCATAATATGTAATACTTGGCTTACACCTACGTAATTTTGGGCAGATCATTTAATTTTTCATCCTTTTACCTCAATTTCCTTTAAAGCAAAAGAATCATGCATTTATGATACATAATTATATTAGGAAAAGATAAGCATATATGCATGTATACATATATAGTTATCTAATCGTATAGATAACAATTACAACAGACTCTAAGAAGAAAAGACAATAAAAGGAAAAATAAAAAGAAAAAATAAATAAAATAAAATAAAATAAAAATAAAAAATATATTATAATATATTGTATTATATAACATATTAATATATAATACATATTTATAATATAATACATAACATATATTATATTATATTATATTATATATTATAATAATATATTATATATAATACATATTACATTATAATATATAATATAAAAATATAAATAAAATTAAAATGAAATTAAAATGAAAATAAAAAAACTAAAAATAAAAATTAGGCATTTCCAAGAGCAAGAATGAAAAGTAGTGATTACCTGATCATTCTGCTGTACATACAAATGGATTTTGCAGTCATCACTGCCACAAGCCAGAACTGGTACTAAAAAACAAGGTTAGAAAAATTTTTATTGCACAATTCAATTTGATTGAATAAATATTTATTCACTGCCTTTTACGTACAAGGTACTGGGCTAGGCTCTGGAGATACAAAGACAAAAAGAAAAATAATCACCAGGCACAAGGCACTTATATTCTAATAGTAAAACATTTTATGCTAAGATTTGGGTTGAATTTTATCATAGTAAGATAGAAGACAAAGCTAAATATTATTTAACAATTTCTCATTACCATATTTGTAGATCTTTCACATTTCAGTATTACATTTCTTTTAGCTCCGTGCTATCTAAGACTCAAAGAACAGTGACTGGTTTAATATTTACTGGAGCAATAATCTTTTGAAAGAATCTATATTTTGTATCTCCATTTTTATTAACTGCCACCCATATCCTTCCTCCCCCAAACAACTGTATCATACTACACTTCACTGACTACTAAGACCATTACTGAAAATATCAATGATCACCCCTCAGTCTGTCATTCAAAACTTCATCACTGTGGCTATTAACACCCCCATAACCATATCCAAACTATGATATGTTTTCCTTTGGTTCAGACTTGGGGGGGGGGGGACGAGGGGAAGAACAGTAAAGGGAAGAATGGAAACATGAAAGAAAATAGTTGACTAGCTGATACAGAATGAATTTTGAGATGAAATTATAAATCTTCAAATAACTACATTATTCAGCATAAATATGATGACTGACTAGCAGAAATAACAACCACCAAAGAAAAGTTTCTCTAGGCAAGTACTACAAGTTTGAATGCCCATTTGGCTCAAAGAATGACTGTGGGGGCAGCTAGGCAGCACAGTGGATAGAGCACCGGCCCTGAAGTCAGGAGGACCTGAGTTCAAATCCAGCCTCAGACCAAACACTTGACACTTACTGGCTGTGTGACTCTGGGCAAGTCACTTAACCCCAATTGCCTTAAAAAAAAAAAAAAAAAAAAGAATGACTGTGACAGAAGAGCAAATACTATACTGAGAAGTCAGAATGACCTGGATAGAGGCTTGGAAAAAAGTCCTTTAAGGAGGGAAGAAAGAACTGGGGATGGAAAGAAATGATGTGTCCAGTCCTATATGAATAGATGTGAAACTCACCATTTTTCTTTCGTCTTTTTTTTTATACATTTTTATTCACCTTTTGATTTTACATTACCTACATTTCATCCTGCATCCTTTCCCTCCTCCCTTCCAGAGACATCTCTTATAACAATTTATTTTATTAAAAAATCAGAAAAGAAAAAAAAAGGAAGAGCAGCAGATACCACATTTGATCTTAGCCAAAAGCCAAAAAGTGAAAAGAGAAAAATTTTTTGTAAATTGACCAACACATCAAAAATAATCTGACATCATATGCAATGGTCCACACCCATAGATTATCCCTCTGCCACAGATTAGATATAGACATAATTTTGCAACATCCTTTTTGTTGTTTTGTGATTTTGTTCTTTTCATTTAAAATGTTGTAGTCATTGTGTATATTGCTTTCCTGGCTCTGTTTACTTCAATTTGCATCAATTCATGTAAATCTTTCCATGCTTTTCTGAATTCATCATCGTTGGCTGGCCATCCTTAAATAAAAATTATGTTCCTCTCAAAATGTCACAGTGTAAGAAGTTATGAAAGATGTAATGATAAAAAGATACTTATTGTCCTCAAGAAATTTAATTTTTTTTGGAGTATAAAACTAATATACATAAAGAAACAAGTAAATGATACAATTGAGGATAAAATAGAAAATTTTTAAAAAGTAAGACTCAAGGAGACACTGAAAAAAGCATTTCCTCCTGCAAAGTTGGGAGATAACTCTTTTTATGCCTCAGGGGGTAGACAGAGGATTCCAAGATCATAGAACTAGAGCTGGAAGAGATCTCAGAATCTAACCCGCTCATTTTACAGATAAGGAAACCAAGGTCCAAGAAGATTAAATGACTTGCCCAAGGACACACAGGTACTAAGCACAGCAGGCAGAATTTGAACCTAGGTTCTCTAACTACAGAACCATTTTTTTTTTTTTTTGCTTTGCCACATTAGGGCTGCAGAGAGAACAGGACTCCCCTCTACCTTTCAAAGGAAATTAAACTCCCCTCTACCAAATAGTTCCCATAGGTCAGAAGGAGGAAGTTTGAGAGGAAAACAACTTAAGGCTATGCCCTTTGACCCCGAGAGAGAGAAAAAGACAGGTGGATGGTTAAGTCAGGAAACTAGAAATCACTTCTCGTTTGTCTGGTTCCTCTTCACCATTCCCCTCAATGTAACCTACCCACAAATTAGAAAAGGTAAAACAATGAAGGAAAAGACATAGTAGATATAAGATATACCAACGTGAGTATTTAAAGTGGTCCCCTAACCCCTATGGACATAATGTTCAAAGAAGGGAGTTAATGCACTGGAATGCAGTTGTTTTAGGACAAAAGTGGAGTTTGTACCTAGGAACAGAAAAGTCTTGAGCTGTCTGCATGTAGCTGGGATATGAGGTACCCTAGTATTCAAAGGAGTATTTTCAGGGATGAAGAACTCAAAATGGTAGAGGGTGGGAGAGAGACTAGAGGGAGAGCAAATCAACAGCAAGCATTTACTAGGGACAGCTAGGTGGCACACTGGACTGGATAGAGCACCGGCCCTGGATTCAGGAGGACCTGAGTTCAAATCCGGCCTCAGATACATAACACTTACTAGCTGTGTGACTCTGGACAAGTCACTTAACCCCACTGCCTAGCCAAAAAAATAAATAAATAAAATAAAAGGAAGCATTTACTATCTCAGCAAAAATAGCCCAGGTTCTACAGTGTCACTACTTGATTTTTTATAATTATTCAATTCTTTGGGCTCAGGACACTTAAAATACATGGAATTATGTATAGATACATAATTTATATAATACATTTGGTTTTTTGCTACTTTTTAGCTCTGGATATAAATTAAATTTCAAGCTCACAAATATTTTTACTAGTTACAAAATTCATATTAGCTCCAATCAAATTTAATAACACTTTTTCTTTCACCTATTAGTATCCACTGCCTTACACGAATCCTTAGATCAATGAAATATGAGAATCTGAGAACATCTTGGTAACCCAATCTAAACTCTCAGAATTATCATATAAACTACATATTTCAAGGAAATCAAAAAGCAACCAAAAGAAGAGGCAGAGACTATTTCAGAATCAAGATTTAGAGCTAGGAGTATGAGTGTGAGTGTATATATGTATGTATGTATATATGTATGTATGTATGTGTGTGTGTGTAATAAAACATTTGTTTATTTACTAAGCCTTTTAAGTACTTAGGTCTTTTTATAGCTAAAATAGATAAGGGCTCATTTGTCTTTGATATAAGACCAGAGGGATACTCACCAATACTATTAGGCAAAAAGGATAAGGAGACATCCAAAATAAACCCACTTCCAAACTGTAAGGTCTGAAGGCATTTTGCTAAGAAATAATAAAAGCATGATTAATAATTATAACAACTCACACTTATTTATAGCAGCTTTTAAACACTATGAGGCATTAACCAGTGATGATGGCTCTAGGCCTTTTTTGTTTTGGCTAGGCAATGGGGTTAAGTGACTTGCCCAGGGTCACATAGTTAGTAAGTGTCAAGTGTCTGAGGTCAGATTTGAACTCAGGTCCTCCTGACTCCAGGGCCAGTGCTCTTGAAATGGAAATTTATTGTTTTATAGTGAATCCTCTCTTATGTTCTGCTGTGTACATGGCAACGTTTTTTTTTTTAATATTTTATTTTATTTTTATTTAAGTTTAAAATAAACTTAAATATAATGATAAAAATAAAACAAAATCCAGGTAGGTCTCCTCACTTCTAGTCCAATACTCCTTCCACAAATCCTCCCATTAAATTAGTCAAAATACTCTACAAATTTAAAGGCTATAGTTACCAAATATATTTGATTATGATATTACAAAGAAATGACAAAAAAAAGACTGAGAAGGGTTTCCTTTATATAGCTTTACAGAAACTGTGAGAAGATTTTTAAAAAAATTTGAATTCCAAGTAAAACATGTTAGAAAATATTGCTACTGACTGCCTCCTCTTATCTTTCATTTAATAATCAATTATTCTCTTTAAATAATCAGTCTATGTGACAAGGCACTTTCTACCACAGTACTCTTTATATGACATTTAGGAGGCCTTACTGAACTGTATACTCCATGGACATAAGTTGATAGTTTTTAGTGCGGGGCACTGGTTGAGGCACTTGAAAGGACAATCTTGAGCCTTGCCAGGACCCAGAGAACTTTCCAAAATTGGAGATACGGATAATTGCGTCAAATTACCCCAGTTAATCTGCTTAGAAACCAAGTACTCACTTTTTTCAATATAGTTTGATTTTCATTAAATATTTCCCAAATACATGTAAAAAAAAATAACATTCATTTAAAAAATTTTTGAGCTCTAAATTTTTATCCTCTCTCTCACCCCTCCCTCCTCTTGAGAAGGCAAGCAATTTGAGTTCGATTATACATATGAAGTCATGCAAAACATTTCCATATTAACTATGCTGCAAATGAAAACAAAAAAAAACCACAATAAAAATGTAGTAAAAAAAGTAAAAATAAATAAATAAATAGATAATCAGTCTATAACACATGAAGAAGCATTACTTACCTTGTGAGTCCACCTTGGACCACACTCGGACTGTAGAATCAGAAGCTGCAGAAACTATAAGTGGATATAATTCTATACCTGAGGCACTCTTCTGGTAAACAGCAGTGACAGCACAAATCGCACCTTCATGGCCTTTGAAGTGAATTATTTCTATAAGCTACAACAAGAAAAAGCAATTAAGTGCCTACTATGTGCAAGCACTGCCCTAGAAGTCAAGGAAACAAAGACGAGTCCTCTCAAAGCACCTATAGTCTATTCAGGGAAAACAGCATGTATACAGGTAAGTAAATACAACACGTATAGCAAATGTATAAAATGCAAACAAAAAGTCGTGGGGGATGGGGGCCACAACAGAGGGAATAGGATAGTCCCCACGTGGGAAGAGAGGCAGAAGAGAGAGCACGGCAGGCTTGAGGGAAGGAGAGCCTGAGCAGAGTCATGGCGTGTTATGTACAGAGACCAGCAGGAGGCCAGTTTGGCCAGAACATAATGAGTGTGATGAGGAGTCCTGTGCAGTAAGTCCGGAAGGGTAGGCTGGAGCCAGATTGTGGAGGGCTTTACATGCTGAATGCAGTAATTGCTATTTTATCCTAGAAGCAACGGGAAGCTACTGGAGATTCCTGATCAGGGCAGTGACAGTTCAGACCCGTGCTTTGAAGATATTAATTTGGTAGACCTGTAGAGAACAAACGAGAGTGGAGAGACTGAGGGCAGGGAGTCTAAGTAGACCTTCAAGTGAGAAGCAATGGTTAGAATTCGTGTAGTGGCCTTCTGAGTGCAGTAAAGAGGGCAGATGTGAGGGATGTTGTGGAGGTCAAATCAATAAGACTTAGTCACTGATTTTATATGGAGCAGGGAAGGGAAGAAGAAAGGGAGAGGAGAAGAGAGAGTCAAGGAGGATTCTGAGGGTTTGAACTTGGGTGACGGGAAGGATAATGATGTCTCAACAGAAACAAGGAAGAAGAGGGAGATAAGATAAAAAATATTATGTCAAAATAGTGTTGTCAATTTCATCTTTTATTACTTGGTTAAAAAGAGCTCCATTTTTAAGGGTTAAAAAAACCTTAAAACCTTAGCACTATGAAAACACAGGTGACAGTGCCTGCCTGTAAGGACAGTTCTGGACGACATTTATCTTTGCTAACATAGCTTCCATGTCCCACATACACACAACCACGATGCCCTGGCCTTCCCATACTACTTCTCCTTTTTTCCCACAACAATCAACAACCTCCCCTTGCTTTTTCCTGCATAAGAGAAGGGATGGAATCCTATTGTTAAGGGATATTACAGTCAAAATAAAGTAAACCTAAGCACAAAGTTCTGAGCATGATCAATTTATTAGTAAAGCACAAATTTACTAATAAATAGGATCTCAGCTTCCTCGGCAAAGATAAGACGCTGAATGAGAGGGACAGCTCTCTTTTATAGCTTTGGGGAGTACTGAACAAAAAACATGACTTGGTGGGCAGGGAACAAAGATCTCAACATCATAAGTGGAGAAATCAATATGACTGGCTACAGAGCAGAGGTGTGGGGGACAAGAGGGCTGGTTGAAAACTGGGAGTGAAGAGCTAGCAACAATCCCCTCCTTCCCACCTGTGACTAAGAAATGCCTGTTGTTTGCGTCCTCCTTACTGGATACTTCCTCTTCCTTTGGCTTCCTTCTCCCTCGTTCTCCTTCCCACCTAAACGTTTCTTCTGTCTCCTTCACTAGGGCCTCAGCTCCCTCTGACCCTTTAACGTGGCTATTCTCCTAAAAGAACGTGGCCCCTCTTCTCTCTCCTCTCTCCCTTGACAAACTCATGCACTCTCACCTCTCCAATGAATGACTCCAGGCAGACGAATACCAAATATCTATTTCCACAACTAAGCTTTCATCTGAGCTCCAAACCCACACCTCCATTGGCTCTCAGTGCATCTCCACAAGGATAAAGCACTGGCATCTGAAACTGAACCCATCATCTTTCCCCTAAACTCGTTCTTCCTTCTGACTTTACTCTCTGACTGGCATGATGTTCTCTCAGTCTCCCATATTCTTAATCTCAGGTTTATATGTGACTCTTCCACTTCCCTCACCTGTCATATCACATCTGTTCCATCACACTGCTATGGGATTTCAATCCTGTAGCCTCTCTGCTAGTCCCATGGCCACCATTCTAACTTAGACCCTCATGACTACCCTCCCATCCTGGTGCCACAGCCGAACAGGCCCCTCCCCTTTCATTCTCTCTGTTACCCATTAATCCTTATGGTAAGTGCTGCCGGAACATTTTAATGTATAGATCTGATCATGTCACTCATCTCTCAAAAATGTTTAGGGTCTCCCTACTGTCTCCTGAGTCAAGTAAAAATTCCACAGTCTGGCATTCAAGGCCCTCCACAATGTGAAATTACCCTCCCTTTCCAACTTTCTGCCATGTTGCTCCTCCACACGAGCTCTGCACATGCTCCAGCCAAAGTGGACTATTTTCTAACCTGAACACACCCTGCTCTCATGTCTCTGCTCACATTATTCAAATGAGATGATGTATCTAAAGTGCTTTGTGAACATTTAAGTACCATATCATTATCTTTGACTATTATTATATTTGGAATATCCTTCTACATCTCTTCACTACTGATTTCCTACTCATTTCTTTAAGCCCAACTCAAAGATTTCCTTAATCCCTCAGTCAATAACAACCCTTTTCCCCACTTCAAATACCTCTTTGTCTTGGATCTATGTAATATACGTATCCTGAATCATGGTGTACTATAGCTCTCGGCATGTGTGTGTTGCAATATCCAATACTTTAAGTGTCAAGAGATCAGGAACTATTCTGTCTAAACTTTCTATCTACTCCAGGGCTCTGCAAATAGAAGACATCAAATAAATACCATTGTTTTACATGTAAAAGTATTTTTGCTCCTTTTCCCTTCCCACAGTCCAACCAAAACTAATAAGCAGATCAAAGTAAACAATGAAGGGAAAATGACAGAAATGGCAACAAGGTCCATTAGGGCTTTACCCAATCTTCCGACCTTCCGACATAGCTACAAACCCTTAATAATCAGTCCACCTGTGCCTCCTACATGAGCCATGCCACACTCTAGGCATCGGCATCCCTGGCAGGAGGACACAAGGAGCATTGCTACACTGTGAAAATCCCTTATGGCCCTTTCTACTTGGTTCTGATAAATACAGAGGGAGATAAGACTTGTTGGACAAAATGAATTTTGAAAGGCATTCTGAAATACCTGGACATTCAAAAAGATGTTTGCAATCACGTGTAAATAAGGTATGAGATTAGGGCTATGAGGTCAATATAACTGTGCATAAGAACCAAGAAGCACGTAGAAAACTTTAAAACAATAGAAACAAGAGGAAACAAAAACCATGAATAAGAATTACCAGCAAAAGCGGAATTTTTTTTTAAATTTTTTAGGCAATTAGGGTTAAGTGACTTGGCCAGGGCCACACAGATAGTAAATGTCAAGTAAGTGTTTGGTCTGAGGCCAGATTTGAACTCAGGTCCTCCTGACTTCAGGGCCGGTGCTCTATCCACTGCGCCACCTAGCTGCCCCCAAAACCAGAATATCTTTACAACATACATTACACTAAGGGAAGCAGCATAGTGTAGTGATCAGAAGTCGGCCTTACAGTCAGGAAGACCTGGGTTCAAGTCCAGCCTCTGACAGGCTGTGTGATCCTAGATAAGTCACTTAACCATTAAGACTACAAGATAAAATGGTAAAAAGAAGTTTCTCACTGGGAACTTCCTACACTGATGAAATCCGAGATCAGATAAAAAAATAAACAAACAAAAAGAGACTCAAAACATGTTCATTTACCTGGTTTTTCTGTATCACCCAAAGAATCATCTGATTATCTGATCCTCCAGAAATCAGTTCCGTTGCAGGAGCTGAACAAGATAAATTATAACTGGGTGAATTCTGTCTATTGTTTTCTACATAATATCTCACTGTTAAATTTATATGTTAAATATATATTAAATTTAGTATTACAATATACTATAGCTAGAAAATTATTCAAAGTGAAAAATTCAAGGCCCATACAACAATATTCTACACTAATCCTTCACTCAATATGTAATCTCATCAGTGTGGGTAATCTCACTAATATCACCAGTTACAATAAATACAATTCAGTCCTCATCTTGAGTATTTCCCGTCCATATTTTTCTTTAAATCTTCCATAGACATGCTGGGGGCTTCCTCTATATTTTTTTATATTCCACCAGCATTAGTGAGGCACTGTTATCTCTCATTCTCATTATGAGTGAGCAGCCCACCTCCTTCTCCCCTTATCACATGTACATTCATAAAATCAGATACATAACTCATAAGATAGTTTAAAAATGTGTGTACATTTTTGGTGTTAATAAGCAGCACCTCATTAACATTTTGGAAAGGATGCCAGGAAAAGAATACATAAATATAGATATATAGATAACATTTGTATCTATTGTACACTTGAGAGGCAGCTTGGTATACTGGAAAGAGTTCTGATCTGAAATGAGGTTTCACCCTGGGCATATACTAACAGAGTAACCATGAACAAATCACTACCTTTCCATGTCCTCAGGCTATTCTAAGATTATACCTGGATCAGAAAAAGGAGTTTCCACATCAGAAACTCTCCCATACCAATAAAACTCTAAGTTTGAACTAAAAAAAAAAATTACAGATTTAAAATGTCACTAAAATAAATTCAACAAAACCATATTAATTCAGCCTGAATTCTAACTAAATTCAAATTATAATGTATTCAAATTGCAGTATTATAATTTCTCCAGAGACCATAATAATTAACAGTGAAACCAAATTGCAGGAAATATGTTTAAAACATTTGGGGGAAAAAATGAGCATTTAAAAGCTCCAATTACAAACTAATATGCTAATTATAAAAGAGAACCTTGGGGCAGCTAGGTGGCGCAGTGGATAGCGCACAGGCCCGAAGTCAGGAGAACCTGAGTTCAAATCGGGCCTCAGACCAAACTCTTGACACTTACTAGCTGTGTGACCCTGGGCAAGTCACTTAACCCCATTGCCTAGCCACCAAAAAATAAATAAATAAATAAATAAATAAATAGTTTTAAAAAACAAAAGAGAGAGAGAATCATAAACTGCAACTGCTAAATGGGCCTTATAGATTATCTGGAATAATTCTCTCACTAGGAAACTCAGGCTTGGAGAGGTTACAGGGTTGCCCAAGATCACGCAGCTGCCTGGCAGCAGAGTTGGTACAACACAGTAGGCTTTCTCATTTTAGACTCCAGGTCTTAACACAAAGTATTGCTCAATTAGCTATTTGATGATGATCATAATGATAATGTGCTCTTTGTGCTCTATTCCATTCCTTTTCAATTTTTCTTTTCAGCAATTCCCTAAGAACCTCTTTGTTAGTTTAGCTTTGGTTACTAAAGGAACCTAAAAGAAAAATTCCTATCTTAGGTCTCATTTTCCTAATGTGCAAAACAAAGAAATTGGGCTAGATGACCACTAAGGTTTTTTTTTAATTCTAGTTCTATGATCCTATGATGTTTTTATTTTATTCTTTAAGACTTTTCATAAATTAAACTATTCACCCCATACTATATCCAAGCTAGTGTAAGCTTATATTATCATATTATAATTATTATATAATTATTTATTATAAGTATTACAATAATATATATTAGAGCTTTTTATCTGTAAAAATCTGGTCTTTTTCCAGTATGTATAACACTAAAGATGAATATGGAAGATAATTAAGAATTAATTTTGTTTCATCAAGGAAAAAAACTGATTTAAAAGAACCCAATTAATACTTACAGTCATCCTGTTTTTGAATCCACTGTAAGCAATTAATTCGACCAGTATGACCATTCAGAGTGTCAATAACAACTCCTTTCTATGAGAAAAGAAACAGTGGTATTAGTAATTTACAGTTCAAGGTTGGACCTAAACAAAATCAGGATTTTCCCCTCTAACATCAGCTATAGCTACCCAGCTATGAAGTTGGATAACTTCATATAGGTTTCCCCTGCTTAACAGAAACTAAATCTAAATAATTCATGCATGATTCACAATTCAATCTAAAATAATACAGTAGTAAACTTCATGGGAAGCAGCCCTGTGAAGCTGTTTTATGACTGATACTTTACCTTGGAAACTAGCTTGGATCACCTTACACTATGTTTTACAACCAAACTCTGGCAACTAGATGATATATGACAAAAATCTGTACTTGACCAGGTTCAACAAACATGACACTAGCCACCAGACCATCTGGTATGATATAGTGTGGTACAGGGGAGGGAGGAGGGAAAGGGAGGCAGTAGTGTTAGATTTGTGGTCAAAAGACCTGAGTTCTAGTGAAACTCAAGCAACTCCTTGAGGCCAGGGAACATAATTTTTTATCTTGGTACTCCCAATGGTGCATTAAATAGAGAATTGCCACTGAAGTGAGGGAGACTTGAGCCCTGTCTCTGATATACACTAACTGCATGATCAGAGACAAGATGCCTCATCACACACAGCGACAACTAATTGAACATAGCAGCGTATGTTTGATAATTCCAAGAACACCAATGCTGGGATAAGGAAAAACCTAAATTTTAACAAAAACTGCTGTGAAACAAAGACATCAAAGAAAGAAAGAAAGGACTGACATATATATAGTTACTTACAGCAGCTCTCTTTGTTAAAGCAAAGAACTGGAAACTAAGCGGGTGCCCATCAATTAAACAATGGCTGAACAAATTAAAATAAATTAATGTAACAGAATTCTATAGTACTGTACAAAATGAGAAAAAGAATGGTTTCAGGGAAACCTACGAAAGCTTGTAAGAATTGATGCTGCATTAGTGGAACACTGTTCCTGACCCTGTAGACTATAATGTCCATAGGGTTTTCTTGGCAAAGATACTAGAGTGGTTTGCATTTACTTCTCCAGTGGATTAAGGCAAACACAGATTAAGTGACTTGCCCAGGGTCACACAGCTAATAAGTGTCAGAGGCAGATCTGAATTCAGGTCATCCTGACTCCAAGCCTAGCACTCTAACCACTGAGCTAACTACCTGTGTCTTCAGTGGCACACTACCTCCCACATACTATACTCCAGCCAATCTCAATTGCTCCCATTCACCAGCACAACAATGCCAAAAATCTTGTCAAAAAACAGGTACAGCAGAAAATGACCCTGACTCTTGAAAGTTTCAAGCAACCATTAAGTAAGCAAATATTTATTATCTATCTTAAAAGTTATACCATGTTAGGCAATATGGGGAAAATACAAAGAGTTCTAAGTTATGGTCTCCGACTTCTATGTACTTAAAATCTAAGACTAATGCACAAGAACAATTAAGAGAAAATACAAAGTAGTATATATTTTAAAGTATTAAGTTTTATAGTGTGTAAATTGTAGGAAATGAAGTGCGTACAATTAGAACAAGATCAACATTATAAATAAGGCTTATGAATTCAGATCAATGCAAGGCCCAGCCATGATATCACAGGATAATGAAACATGATAAGCACCCTGCTGACAGAGAGGCAAAACTCAAGGTGTAGAATGAGATGTATGTTTTCAGAGACAGAAAATAGGGAAATCTGTTCTGCTTGACTACACATATTTGTTACAAGGGTTTGATTTTTTTTTATCTTTTTCCCCAAATAAATGAGGACAAGAGGAGGGGTGTAAGGTGAGAAGGAGAAGAGGGACAGCAATTGCTAATTACATCATTACTATGCCTATACTTCAAAGAGATCAAAGATGGAAAGGGCCATACGTACAAAAATACTTAAAGTCAGTATTTTTTGTTATAACAAAGAACTGGAAAAAAAGTAAGCGCCTGTCAAGTGAAAAATAGCCGAACAAATTATGGTACATGAACGGAATGAAATATTATTGCTCCATAAGAAAGATGAAAGGGACAGATTCATAGTAACCTGGGAAAACTCGTATGAACTGATGTATAAGGAAGTGAGCCAAACCAAGAGAACAATTGTTATGAGTTTTTCTTTTGGTGTCTTTTTTTATTTTTTTCCCACTTAACAGTATTTTATTTTTTCCAATTACATATAGAGATAGCTTTCAACATTCACTTTTATAAGATTTTGAGTTCAATTTTTTTCTCCCTGCCTCCCTCTCCTCCTCTATCCCTAAGATGGCAAGCAATATGATATAGGTTATACATGTACAATCATATTACACATATTTCCACATTAGTCATGTTGTGAAAGAATCAGAACAAAAGGGAAAAACCACGAAAAAGAAAAAAAGCAACAAAAAAAGTGAAAGCAGAATGCTTTAATCTGCATTCAGATTCCACAGTTCTTTCTCCGTATGTGGACAGCATTTTCCATCATAAGTCTTTTGGAGTTGTCTTAGACCATTGTATTGCTGAGAAGAGCCAAGTCTATCACAGTTGATCGTCACACAATGTTGCTGTTACTGTGCACAATGTACTTCTGGTTCTACTCGCTTCACTCAGTTCATGTAAGTCTTTCCAAGTTTTTCTGAAATCCTCCTGCTCATCATTTCTTATAGCACAATAGTATTCTATTACATTCACATACCATAATTTGTGAATGATTACTATGCTGACTACAACACTGTAAAGGACAACTCTGAAAGACACAGGAACTAGCATCAGAAGTATAAGCCGTTCTTCCTCACACATGCCTCTCTGTTTGTGACTTCTATGTGTGGCCATTCTCCCCACTGATCCTGGGTGTACTTGGAGGAGACCATACCCCAGATTTATGGGTAGAATATTTCGTTGCATAATTTCTTTCTATGCCAGTTCAATAACGTCTTTGCTTTGAGCTGCGTCCTCTTTACGACTGCACCAAAGTAAACATATTACTTTGGGCTCACAAACTGTAACTTTAGAAATTCAAACCTAGGATGTCTCAAACTTGAGGTAGCCATCCTCTGTTCAGTCGTTTAGGTCTTGTCGGACTCTTTGTGACCCCATTTGATGTTTTCTTGGCAAATATACTAGAGTGGTTTGCCATTTCCTTCTCCAGTTCATTTTACAGATGAGGAAACTGAAGCAAGCAGGGTTAAGTGACTTCCCCAGGGTCACATAGCTAGTGCCTGAAGGAGAATTTGAACTCAGGTCTTCCTGACTTCAGGCTTGGTATCTGGTAACTATGTGGCACAGAGAATAGAGCACTAGGTTTGGAATCAGGAAGATTCATCTTTATGAATTTGAATCCAGCCTCACACTTACCAGCTGTGTAACTCTGGGCAAATCACACAACCTGTTTTGCTTTGGTTTCCTCATCTGTAAAGTGGAGATAATAATAGCACCTAACTTGGAGTTATTATGAGAATCAAATGGGGATAATTACTGTAAAACACTTAGCACATTGCCTTGCACATAGTAAATGTTACACATAAATGTTGGCTATTATTATTATTATCAGTGAAGGGGCTACTCACAACCAATGAGATTATTCAAGTATCAAAGCTAGGGAAAATTTAGGCATGTTTGAAAACTGACCATAGGAACCAGTATAAAGTGAAAAACTGAGTAAGCCCTGGACAGGAAAAAAAGTTCAGGCAAGGCCTAAATCATTAAGAGACAAGTTGGAGAAAACAAGCTTAAAGAACAGAGGCTGTGACTAGCCCAAAGTACATAGAAAGAATGGACCTGGTAAAGTTTGAAATAATTGCTGTATGAAGATAGGAAATCAATTCTTTAAAAATGAAACAAAGATTGCCTAACAGTGGCAACAGCAAAGCTGAAGTTGGACAGCAAGTATTCGTGAAATAGCAGGTCAACCCACTGTGTGGCTGGAATCAGGCCTCAAGAAATCAGGAAGGTGGAAAAGTGCTCGGTGTTGAAGACAAGCAAGCAGAGAAGAAATGGGGGGGGCAACAGAAGGCCGCCCTGAAGTGGCTGGCCATTGATTCCAAGCTGCACAGGGAGTCAAGGGAATAAAAAATGCCTACTGTCCAGGTCATGACATGCGATAAACTGAGCAAGCCATAAGCACATACATCACTGGAAATGCGCTAGAAATGAACCATGAGCTAGGTTCAGAAATGAAAGCAGGCTGGGCTGTTTTTGAGAAACTGCCCTGCACTGGCAAGATCTCCAACCGCGTCCACACTGACGGCGGGAGGGCTCAAAGGCCCGGGCCTCCCACAGGAGCATGTTCCTGGGTGCTTCCTGACTGGCGACTGATCAGGGAAAAAGACCCTCGCTGCCCGGGGCAGCGCGGCCGAGGGGTGAGGGGTAGCCGCGGGGCTGTGCGGAAAACACTCGATGGAGAAGACGAAGCCCGAGGCTCCTCGGAGCTCCAGCGCCGCCCAAGAGCAGCGCACACAGTGGGCGCTTCACGCGTGTGGGCGGAACGGGATGGAGGGCGGACCCCGCCCCGGAGCGGGGGACCTGGGGTGGGGGGAGCGCTCTCTCTCACCTGCGGCTCGTAGAGGACCACAGAGCGGCAAGAGCCGAAAGCCAGGAGACCCCCGGGTCCGGGGTCCCAGCGCACGGCGCCCCGCGCCCGGTTCGCGCTGCAGAACACGTGACACGTCTCCATGACGGGCGCCGCCATCTTGCGGTGGAGGGAGCTGTAGCTCCGCCCAGAAGAGGAGCACTTCCGGCCGCAGGAGCGGAAAACGCAAACGCATCTCCTTTGGCTCGCGCGGCGGCTGCCACCTGCATTGCAGCATCTGGCGCCCGCGCCGCTCCCTGCCACCGGGGCGCGGCTCTCCCGGGTTTTAGAGTTTGCCGGCGAGAGGGAGAGTGGGGAGGAGGAAAGCTCTGGGAGGGATGGAGAGCCTGGGATCTGGGAGTAATGCTATCCTAGCGTTGCGGTCCCAGTCTGCCCGCCCCACCGACTAAGCTTTCGTCTGTTACAAAACAGGACTTCGTTCTAGCGGAATTCGGGGGAATTTTGTCAGGGCTGGAAGGAGCTTAGGGAAGCATCGATAAGTCACTGCCCAGCTGCAGTCTCGGAACCTCATCCACGGGAAGTACCGCAGGCGACTCCAGCTCTCCGTGTCCAAAACTTCTTTATTGCTCCTGAGGGTGCCAGCCCATCACTGTTATTCCATATATCCAATCAGTTGCCAGGTCTTGCTTCTACTTCTACAGCGTTTCTTGCATCTGTCCCATTCTTTCCATGCACAGAAGCCACCCACCACACTCGTTTGGCCCGTAACCATTTTTCCCCTAGACTATTACAATATCGTCCTAACCGGATAGTGCAAGAGATGGAAAGATAGAGATAAATAGTACACAGACAGATACATAGATTAGATTGATACATAAATTAGCTAGATGGATGGATTAGATAGATGCTTTTTCATTCTTTCAACTAACATTAAGCGTATACTATGTGCCAGGCACTGTGCTAAGCGATAGAGATACAAAAAGAGGCAAAAGACTGTCCCTGCCGTCAAGGATTTTACAGTCTAATGGGGGAGACAACATGCAAACAAATATATACAAAGAAAGTTACCTACAGAATAAATAGAAAATAATTTAAAAAGGGAAACCACTGGAATTAAAGCCAGTTCTGACAAGATGAATATAAAATCCTCCGTTTGGCATTCAAAGCCCTTTGCAATTTGCTAGTCTTTTCCAGTCTTCTTACACCGTACTCCCTCCCTTCCCCACCACATACTTTGCCATCCAGTGACACTGGCCTCCGTGCTGATCCTCGAATAAGACGAGACATTCCATCTCCAGACTCCAAGAGTTTTCTCTAGCTGTCACCCTGCCATTACTCGAACCCTCTTCCTCCTCATCTCTGCCTCCTAGCTTTCCTGTTTCCTTTAGCTGAAGTCCCACTTTCTGCAGGAACGCCTTCCTAGTCCTCTTTAATCTTAATGCCTTCTTACCCCGACTTTATCCTGTATGTATCTTGTTTGTACAGTTCTTTCCCAGTTTTCACCCCTTGAAGAAGCAGAGTTTTGTTTTTATATCTCCAGGGATTAGCACTGGCACATAGTAGGTACTTAATAAATGCCAGTTTAGGGGCAGCTAGGTGGCGCAGTGGATGGAGCACTGGCCCTGGAGTTAGTAGGATCTGAGTTCAAATCTTGCCTCAAGACATATAACACTTACTAGCTGTGTGACTCTGGTCACCCCAATTGCCTCGTCAAAAAAAAATGTTAGTTTACTACTTCAAGTCTCCCTTCTCCCATCCATTCTCTACACAGTTGCCAAAGGGCTTCTCCTAAAGTGAAGGTCTGACCATAAAATCCTATGGCTCCCTAGTGTCTATAAAGGGTCATACACACACATTCCTCTGTCATTTAAAGCCCTTTACAGCCCGTCTCCCACATAACTTTCCAAATTTATTATATACATTACTCTTCTCCACACACTTTTCAGTCTAGCCAAACAACTATCCTCAGAAACTACATTATGCCTTTTCACAGGCAGTCCCCCATATCTAGAATGTATTCAGTCCTCACCTCTGCCTCTTAGAATTTCTAGTTTTCTTCAAAGCTCAACTCAAATGCCACCTCCTACAGGAGTCCTTTCCTAATCTTCCCAGCTATTGAGAATCCCCTGCAAAATCACCTTATATTTATGTTGTCAAGTGACAGAAAATTATTCATATGATGACAGAAAATTGTAAATACCAAATGTAATATTACCTGCCAAGTCCCTTAAATGATCTTAGTAATGTCAGAATTTCAGTAATATCCTTGCACTCCTACTCTTAAGATATTTACTCTCGATTAGGTTCAGCTACACTATTCCCTAAGTCCCACTCTGTGCCCTTTCCTTGTAAACAGTCAGCTTGCTCCCATGACCTGATGTCCTTAACTCTTCCCTTGGGATTCATGAAATGAAGGGCAAAACAGCCAGAATGAAGTGGTTTTCCTTGCTTATATTGCTGGGGGTGGCTGGCATCTCATAACCAGGCCTTGTTACCTAATATGATCTATTCCCCCTTTTCTCCTAAAAGTTTAAGAACCTTTTCCTGTGAGTCTGCTGGTGGGATATCCCCCAGGGTGACAGGTTTGCTATGGTGTGATCTCGATTAGAGACACTATTTCTCCACTCAGGAGTTTGATTTACTTCAAGACTTGACACAAGTCAACAAGCATTTACTAAGCTGTCACTTTGTGAAGTGAACTGCGCTAAGTACAGAGAACACCAAAAAAAAAAAAAATGCAGAAAGAAAGACAATCTACAACTTGCCCTCAAGGAGCTTACATTCTAATGGAGGAAGACAACATATAAAAGGAAACCCAAAAGAGCTAGGTAGGGGCAGACCAAAATACCCAATGAGAAAGTCCAGAGTGCAGCCTAAAGATGAATGAAAGATTCCTAATGCATTTGTATGTGAACATGTTGTCTTCCTCTGTAGAATTAGTACGCCTTAAGAGCAAAAAACTTTCATTCTGTCTTTGTATTCATCCATTGCATAGCACAATGCTTGGCACACAGTAAGTGCTTAATAAATGCTTGTTGACTGATTAAATGCCCCAGTGGAAGCAGCATGGCTTTGGAGTCAGAAGACCTGGACAAGGGTCCCAAATTTTCTGCTTATTCTCTCTGTGACCTTGAGCAAGTCATTTCCTTGGTGCTTGGTCTCCCTGCCTCCCTCCACTCCAATTTGCTCTCCATTTAAGCTACCTAAAGTGTAAGTCCAACCACGGCACCTCCTCTCCCCTATCCAGTAAACTGTAGTGGCTTCTTTTTACAAATATAACATCCTCTATTTGACTTTTAAAGCCCCTCACAAGATGACCCCTTCTTACCTTTCCAATCTTCTTATACTTTACTCCCCTCAATATACTCTACACTCTAGCAACACTAGCCTTCTTAATGTTCTTTGCTCACAATACTCCTCTCTTGACTCCATAGCTTTTCACCAGCTGTCCTCCATGCCTGGAATATTCTCTCCCTCCTCACCTGCTCCTCCTCTATTCCTTCAAGATTCAGCTCCAAGCCCACCTGCTGTAAGAGGCCTCTTGTGGTCCCCTCCACTACTAGAGCCTTCCTTCAGGGATTTCCTCCCATTTACACTGTCTATATCTTACTTGTTTCTAGTTCACATGTTGTCTTCCTCATTAGAATGTCAGTCCCATGAGGACAGGACCATGTTTTTGCTTTTCTTTGTATCTCTAGCACTTGGCACAGTGCCTAACACATAATGTTTGGTGACTGACTTCCCCTCTTTGAGTCTCAGTTTCCTCCTCTGTAAAATAAGAGAATTGAACTAGATCATATTTAAGGTTTCTTCCAATTGTAAATCTTATGATTGTACAGATGGAAGAAAACTGAGGAAACTGAGGAGTGGATAGGCATGGTGACTTGCTCAAGGTCATACAGTAAAAACACAGTGACAGATCTGAGATAAGAACAAAGTCACCCTACTCTTAGGCCAAAGTTATTTATACTACACCACTGTGCCTTGCATTAACCCTGCTACCTCACTACAAACAATGCCACTCACAAGAGTGTTCATATAGGAGAGTAAGAGGAGATGAGACTGGAAAGGTAAATCCAACATATATGAAGAATTCAGAGAAACTTGGGAAGACTAGTATGAACTGATGCAGAATGAAGTGAGAATAAAATTTATGCAGTGACAATAATGAAAAGGAAAACAACAACTGAAAAATATCAGGACTCTTATCAGTGCAATGATTAATTTCAGAGGACTAACAGTGAGCATGTTTCCCACCCCAAGAGAGAGAAATGGGGAACTATCAGTATAAAAGTAGGCATACATGGTTAGACATGGCCTATATGTTGATTTGTTTTGCTTAACTACACTTCCTTGTGGCCAGAGAGGGTTTTCTTATGGAGTTCTGTGAGTCACTGGGAATAATGGTCCTTTTAAGAGTAGCATCAATAAATCAAATGCATATATACTTTTTATATATGTACATATATTAAAATAATAATAGCGAACATTTATATAACACCTACTATGTGCCAGGCACTTTACAATGATCTCATTGGAGCTTTACAACAACCCTGAAAAGAAAGTGCTATTATGATTCTCCATTTAACTGCTGAGGCAACAGAGGCAAACAATGGTTAAGCGATTTGCCCATGGTCACACAGCTAGAAAGTATCTGAGGGCAGATTTGAACTCAGGTCTTCCTGACTCCAGGCTTAGTCCTCTATCCACTAGATCAAGTCATAAGGTTTGATTATGAAAGGTATTGAGTGTTAACTTCAGGAGTTTGTACTTGAAGACAGTGAGGAACCATCACAAATCTCAGAGCAAGAAAATAACACAAGAGTAATAGTAGTTAAGGAAGATTATTATATGACAGTAGTATAGAGCAGTGTTGTCAAACTCAAATAGAAATGAGGGCTACTAAGCTGTGTATAAGGACTCCTGCAGGCAGCATATTGATTTAGAAAACCACTTTTTAAAATTATCTATGCTCTAGCTATAGTATTTCTGTTTTGTTAAATGTTTCCCAATTACATTTTAATCTGGTTCTGAGGCACTCCAGAGTTATTACCAGCTGAATATGGCCAGCAGGCCTAGTGTTCATACCTTTGGTATAGAGGTCCATATCATATGGATCCTATTGGTTAAAGGAAATGGGATGGTTAAACTGAAGAAGACTGAGAGGTGGGTGCAGGAGGGGGTGGGGTAGGGCACTGCTACCTGCCTTCAGGAATTTGAAAGATGAGCACATAGAAAAGGGATTAGACTCCTGTATGTTTTCAGAGGGCAGAACTAGGAGAGAAAGGTAAAAATAGTGTGAGGCAAATTTTGGCTTAATGTTGGGAAAAACTTCCTAAAAATTCGAACTGTCCAAATGTGAAATAATCTGCCAAGAGAGGTGGTGGTGACTCTCACTGGAGGTCTTTAAAGAAAGGCCAGATGGGAAGGAAAGAAGCATTTATTAAGTTCCCACTATGTGCCAGGCACTGTGATAAACATTTACAAATATGGTCTATTTGACCTTTACAACAAGATTGGGAGATAGATGCTATTATCATCCTCATTTTCCAGTTAAGGAATTGAGGCAGACAGAGGTTGACTGATTCACCCAAGATCACACAGCTAGTAAGTGTTTTAAGTCAGAGAACTACCCACTGCACCACTTAGCTGACTCAAGGAGTAGTGACTGAATACAGAAAGGGTTGGAGGAGGTGTAGAGTTGTCAAACACAGGACTTTCCTGATGCTTGTGATCCAAAATACTTTCCAGTGCACTCAGAACCAGATTAAAATGTAACTGGGAACTATTTAACAAAATTTTTAAAAATACAATAAAACAGCTAACGTCACTTTTTAAAACAGTCGGAGTGCCACAGGAATCCTTATATATGGACTAGTAGTTCCTGTTTCTGTTTGAGTTTGAAACCATTGGTATAAAGGAGGCACGACAAAGAAAGAAATGTGAGATGATTGAGATGACTTGAACCTGGGGAAATAGAAGAATGGTACTACCATGAACATAGGTAACTTGAGGTTAGGGATGGCAGGGCCAAGAGTCAAGAAAAGTTGTTTGTAGCCCTGGGTCTTCCACTAACTAGCTATTCAATCTTGGGCCTCATTTAACTTGCACAGGCCTGTTTCCTGTAACTAAACCATCCGTAAAGCATCCAAACCTAAATGCTATGATTTGGGCAACCATCTTCATAATGGAGGCAGATGAAGTATTATCGTGACCTGGTGTTGCCGGGAGAAGGGGAGGAGAGACAAAGACAGTTTTGGAAGGATTGCCTCCATGCAGAGGGTAACCGAGGAACCAGTGAAAGACACCGAAGAGCACGTAGAGAGGTAGGAGAGAAGCAAAGGGAGGGGTTTCCAAGATGCAGGGATGGAATCGGAAAGGATAACTCTTTTGACATTGCGGTGTCTGGTAAGCTTCCAGCGAGCGGGTGGGTGCAGAAGCCAGCCCGAGGGGCATCAGAACAGGCGTGGGTGGAGGCAGTGAGGTCAGCTGGCGCAGCCCACATTTGCCAGTTAAGGAGCTGGACCAAGAACGCCAGAAGGGAGATGAGATTAAGAAAACCAGAGAGCCGCAAGCCTCGATCCCCTGGGAACGAAATCACCACTTCCCGAGGTTTTTTCATTTTCCTGCCTTTCGCAACCCAAGCACACACACATACACCCTCGGGGCGGAGTGGGTGTAGCAAGGAGGGGGAGAAGCAAACCGATCCCAGCTCATTAAAGAGACAATTTTCTGCGGCTCCGCCCCCTCCCTGAACCAGCGAGGTCGCCCGCGCTCGGGCAGAGCATCCTTTCAGCAGCTTCTAAAGCCCGGAAAAGGACGTGCATGAGACCGTGCCGGCCGCAAGGCGCATGCGCAGAGCCGAGCCCGGTCCGGGCAGCTTGGGGCCGGCCTCGGGGCTGGCCGGACGCCGCAGGTGAGGAGCTGTCCTCGTGGGGCGGGATGTGCGGCCTCGGGGGCGTCCCGGCCGGGGTTCGGGCGCCTTACCTTGTTGGGCCGAGAAGCGAGCCGCCTCTCCCCCCACCTCTGACCGGCCGGGGTGGGCGTCGAGAGCGGGCGGCCTCGGCCCCCGGCGCGGAGCCCCCCGCTTGGGTGGCGAGGCTTGGGGAGGCTGCGGGCCGGCGATGGAGGGAGGGGGTGCGGGGTGGGGGCAGGGAGAGGGGCGGTGCGCGTGGGGTCCTCGCTCCGTCGCCGCCGCTGCTTTGTCTCCTGGGAGCAGCCCCGCCCTCGGAACACAGCTGGAATTGGGAGGGGTGCGGGAAGCTGACCCGCTCCAGTTGTGTCCGCTCGTGGCCTGGAAGCTGGAAGGAGCCTTGGGGGGCTCGTCTGCATTTGGGTGACTTTACGCGAGGCCCTCGAGCGGGCTGTTAAATGGTTTGATAACCCAGTGTCAGTCTAATTGGTTTCCTTTGTAATCCAGTTTTATGCATTTAATGACTTGGGGTCCGTTGGTTTCAAAAAAGGTTAAGAATCCATCCTCTAAACCTAGTTTCACAGGTGAGGGAATAGACCAGAGCCCACGCAGCCAGGGCAGCGAAGGTTTCAAATAATTTTGTATATACTTAAACGAATTTTATACCTATATGCAACATAGACTGACACTATTTTCTGTATTTTTTTCCTCGTAGAATGTAGACTAGAAGCTGCACCATCACAGGGAATACTTCAGTGAGATAACAGTTCTGACACTATTTACTTATACATTCACATGAGTGGGTGTATTTTCTTCATCTCTCATAGATTATAGAATAGAAGTTGCATCATCGCAGGGAGAACTGAAGTGAGATAAACAATCAATCGAAGTATTACTTCTCTGTGTCTAGCTCCTTGCAAGTTGTATTGTTTCATTCTTTGTACTAGCATCCTTAGATATAGCACAGTGCCTGGCATGTAGCAGGCACTTATTAAACTACTTATTGAATGATTGTTGTTCCTCCCAACCGCAGGAGAATGTCAGCAGCTTGAGCTCTAGGACTGTTTTTGTTTGTATCTGTAGAACTTAGCTCGATGGCTTGCACTTTATTGAGGGGCATGGGTGATCTCGGAGTATTCTGGACTTGGAATTGGAACCCCCTGGTGGGAAACTACTTCCCTTGTGGATAGGAAGCTGATCTGTAACTTAGAGTTAGGACACTAAATTGAGCGACACCGTTGGTCACAAAATTAGTGTGAATCAAAGGCAGTACTTGATCATTAGCCACTAAGAGTTAGTATTTAATTTTTATTAAATACAGGAGAGGTGTTGCTCTCCATAACTAATTGGGAGGGGTTGATTTATTGGAGGGGGGGAGGCTTCAAGGGAATTGGAAATGGAAATGGAAAAACCAGAGTTTTTGAAAAGTGTGGAAGGAGAGGAGATATTTCTCCCCAATGTGAATAGAGAAGGTGTGTTTTTTTTGGGAGCATTTGGGGGAAGAGGCAGTGCTCTTTTTAGTGTAGAATAAGTTTTTGCTAGGATGTCATGTAAGGTAATGGGAAAGTTGTTGAGTTGTTTTCCTAGAACTACACAGCACTGTGTGGAGGGGGCAAGGCTGAAATTAGGCTGTTGCTGCCTTCCTGGGTCTGGAAGGGAAGAGGAAAAAATATGACAGTCCCCAGCCTGCATTGTATTTGCTTAATGAAAGCCTAAAAGCTGAAACTGTATGGTTTTATCTTTTGTTGGTCATTCTTTCAGTTAGTTCAGCACAAATTGCTATCCAGTTTCCTTTCAACCTCTTTCATTTTCTTTTGCCCCATCTTCCTTTTCCTTTTTCTCTTTGCTTCTCTACTTTTATCTTATTTCTCTCTTTTCTTCAAGGCTCTTTTCAGTCCTCTTTCTCTAATCCTCTTAGAGATTCTGTCGATCCATGAGCATTTATTAAGCACCTGCTATGTGCCATATACTGCCAAAGAGCTGGAGATATAAAGAAAGCCAAAGGTACCTGTCCTCAAGGAACTCATTCTAATGGGAAGGACAACATGCAAACGATGGTGTATATAAAAGGCAAAAAAAAAATATATATATATATATATATATAGACACACATATATATGGAGTCAGATTCAGAGGGAAGACACTTCAGAGATGGTAAAAAGGGATAGACTGGGAACAGCCTCCTACAGAAGGTGGGATTTGAACTGAGTCTTCAAGGAAATAAGGAGTTAGAGATGAAGAGGGAGAGCATCCAGGTGTGTAGGACAGACAGTGAAAACGAAGGGATTCCTCACTGTGCTCAGAGAGAAGTGTTTGCATATTTTTTTTTTGGTCATCTTTTCAGTGGTCTGGTTTCTTCGTTTTAGAAAAGGGAGGACATTTCTCAAGCTGGACTTAACCACTGAAATATTCTCCTAAATGTTCTAACCTCCAGTCTTTGCATTTTAATAGTCATACAAGCTACATCAACACTAATGATCCTAAAATTTTTGCTTTTCTCATTTCTCTTATTCAAGGGCGTCCGGTTGCCCAATCAAGTGCAAAATTCTCTCAGGCCTTTTAATGTTCTCCAAGATCTGCCCTCTACCCATCCATTCTTGTTGCTTTAATATTTTTTTAATTTTCTGCCCTATAAAGGAAGAATGCCTTCCTCCTTTTCCTTGTGCAAATCTTAGTCCTCTCTTCTGTTGCTTTTCTTGCAATTCCTGTCGTTATTCTGTATATCTCAGAGAGAGAGAGAGAGAAATGGGCCCATTTGACTGTCTGGACCCCCTCCCAGTATAATGTTCATTGTTTGCATTCATAATTAAGGGAAATGCTAAATTTGATTTAGGTTAGTAAAAGTAAAGGCGTTTTTTTCCCCTTCCAAGTTCATAGACCCCTTGAAATCTCTCAATGGACCCCAGGTTATGAAGCGTAACTTCTGTTGAACTATAAGTTAATACTACTAAATCTGATTAGCTCTTAACTGTTCTTTAGTATGTTTGGTAATTTCCCCAGCTAGATTATAAACTATGTCTATATGACTTCTATACTCCTCATAGCATCAAATAGTACTGGATACACAGAGGTTCAATACATGCTTGTTAATTAACTGTGCTATATGTTGTACTGGTCCCGATATAATATTTAAAGATCATGAAAATGGTTCCTCGCTTACTGTAGTGGTGGACTAGGATTTGGTACAGGATGAGAAGGCAAGGTTTCAGTCTACACCATGGAAAGAAGTACTTAACTTCAAGGAGATCACATATCCATTGAAGGATTACTTATCTGTGTTTATATTTTATTCCCAAGTAGAATGTAGTCTTCAGGAATGATTTAATTTGTCTTTGTGTCCCCAAGGCTTAAACAGGTGCTTAATAAATATGTTTGTATACTTTTTCAAGCACGTGATTTTTGAAACCCCCTCCTATTATCTTATCAAAGACAAAGAGTAATGGTATTTTTTTCTCCCTTTCTTATAGGAAACTACAATGGAGAAGATATTTTCTGTGGCTCTGCTCTTCACATTAGTCATGTCAGTGTTAGGGAACCATCATGGAATGGAACCAGAAAAAAGTGTTCCCAATTGGGCAACTCATATTAATGTTGATTTGGCAATTGGTACTCAGCGGCAGCACTTACAGGAACTTTTCCATCGATACGGCGAGAATAATTCCTTGACAGTTGAAGGATTTAGAAAATTGCTTCAGAATATAGGCATTGATAAAACTAAGAGAATCCATATAAATCATGACCATGATCATCACCATCATCACCATGGTACCACAAATAAAAATACTAAGAAAACCGCGTGTCCAGATCATGAATCTGGTGGTACAATTAAAGATACCAGGAATAGCCAGATTAAAGGACTACACAAATCAGAAAATATTGAGAGCCAGCCAAGCATTTTGGTCAAGGACAGTATTAGTGAGATGACCACAGCTATTTACAGTACTGCCATAGAAGGAAATCATTTCCTAAAGACTACCAAACAGCTTCTACCCAAAGATTTGAACGGTTCCTTGGCACCCAGTACTATGGAAGGTAATGGTGTGAGCTTGCTGGCAAAAGAAAAAGCAAATGAATCTGTTGTGAATGAACCAGACCGAGGAGGAAGCTCTATATATTCTAAGCATTCCAACCAAAACGTCCAGGAGGTAAGATTAATTTTGTTTATTGTTTTTAACCAAACATGCTGAGTGGTATGCCACCATACACATTGGCATTAGAAGGGAAAATGAGGATAGGCACTGAAAATGTTACTTCTCAGTTTTGCCCTAGCTTGACCCTTCCTACAACTCTTAAGTTCATTTATAACAAAATAAGGTTGTCTTTACTTCAGTCAGAGAAAGGTTTTTAATTAATGGCCTTTTTGGCAAGCAGATAAACAGAGCCTTAGATATAGAAATTACTACTACATATTGGAAAGTGAAGTGTTATAATTACCTGAACAAAAAGTAGCTTTCAACTAGTATAGTCAACAAAAATTCAAATCTGTAGAATTTTAAAGAGCTAATTATTAGCTACATTTTAATAAATGAAAGTATTATAATTTGAATTCATATCAGTATAGTAACTTATATTATTAATTACTGGTAAAGGCTATTCTGAAGTATCCTGGCTTACAAAGGATGAGTTTCAAAGGATCTTATATAAAAGTTGAGACAATTTGAATGATCAAGTAGTTTACCTGGAAAAGCATTGAGGCCAATAGTTTAATTTTTTTTGAGAGAACCTTCTCCTGAAAATAAACTAATATTTAAAGTAGATACTTTTTTTCTATGGTAGATGTTTTTAAAAATTACTGGCTTCCTCTTCTGAAAGATATCTGTAAGATTTTATTCTGACAGCTAATATTTACATGGCACTTTTAAGTTTGCAAAGTGCTTTACTTATATTGTTTCATTTGGTTCACACAACCACCCTGTGAGGTGGGTGCTGTTATTATCCTCATTTTACAGAGGAAGAAACTGAGCCTGAAAGAGATTAACTGACTTGCCTAGGGTCACGCAGCTTGATCTGAGGCAGGATCAATTCAACATTCTCTCCATTAGGCCACCATGCTGCCTGCTTGACCAATATTAATTCTGTTCACCAAAGAGAGACAGATGCTAAATTAAGTATTTCCAGGGTCAAACTAAAGCTATTGCAGGAGAGATGGTATGATAAATGTTTATTAGGATGAATAACTTCAGTTTGTTAAGCCCTTGTTAGAATTACCATTTATCATAAATCAATAGATTTTTTTTTTTTTGCAAGGCAATTAGGATTAAGTGACTTGCCCAGGGTCACAAAGCTAGTGTCAAGTGTCTGGTCTGAGACTGGATTTGAACTCAGATCCTCCTGACTCCCAAGGCCAGTGCTCTATCCACTACACCACCTAGCTGCCCCTAATAAAACAGATTTCTTAAGGCAGCTTCTCACTATCTGTAAATAGAAAATTTTTTGATAGTAGGTGACTCAGAAGTTAATTCAGGTTTACAAGTAAGTAGGATGTAAATCATAAATAAATTAGGTAGAATCTTAGACTTTAAAGCAGGAAATGACTTTTAAGATCATCCAGTCCATTGAACTCATTTTACAGATGAGGAAACTGTTCAAATTCAAGGGGGAGAAGAGGCTTGTCTAAAACCACACATTAGTGACAACAGGGACTACTACTGTAGTTGCTTGACTCCCAGCCTATGGAAAAGTTGACTCAGCCTTGCATATGCCAGTTCATCCAGCTGCCTATTCACTCAAGCTTTTTTTCCAGATGATGTATGTTATAGAGCAGTGGGATCAAACTCAAATAAATATAGGGGCCACTAAATCATACCTAAGGATCTCTTTGGGAAGCATGTTGACTTAGAAAATCGCATGTGAACATTATATTTGTTGTATTTTTATTTTGTTAAATATTTCCCAATTCCATTTTAATCTGGCTCTATTGTGGGCAACTTTTTTGACACATCTGCCATAAACTAGGTTAGAACTGTTTGCCTGTGAATTTCAGATGCTTCACAAGAAACAGGCAGAAGCTGATTCCATAAAGTGAGTGTCACGACATCTCATTAGAGTGTCACCGGTGGCCTGTTTAGCCATAAGTACTTCCCAGTGTCTGTACTTCATTTCAGGGTGTGTGCCTAAATTCTCAAAAGAAAATTAATTTAGAGTCACTTGAATTTAAACAATTTTCCATATAATGTTTTAGCAGGAAGGTAGGGTTCTCATATAACAGAAAGCTTATGGTTTGTTTTTTTTTTCCAGGTTCCATACTATGGTAATGCCTTTTGTAATTTGAAATGTTTTGTTTTCATTAGTGTTTCAATGCATCAAAACTTCTCCAGTCTCATGGAATGGGCATACAAGTATTGCTGAATGCAACAGAATTTAATTATCTTTGCCCAGCTATTATCAATCAGATTGATGGCAAATCCTGTATAGTTCATGTAACCAGTGAAAAGAAGACTGAAATCCCTCCCAAGACCTATTCTTTACAAATAGGTAAGGTGGAATTATGCTCTTCAGCAGCTTTGTTTAACTCTGGGGGTAGTATAATAGGAAAGAGGGAAGAGGTAGAAAATGTATTCTATGAAAAATTAGCAAATTAAAAAAATAGGCTGGATATTTTTATAATATAAAATTTAAAATTCAGAAGACTTTTTTTTTTTTAAAGAAAATTCATTTAGGGGACAGTATTATCCAATGGAAAGAGTACTGGTTTTGGAATCACAAGACTTGGATTTCCTGAATTTAATGCTTCCTATCACTATGACATAGTACAAGTCACCCCATTTCCTTCTTCCTCAGTTTCCTGACCTGTAAAATAAGAAAACTGGACCAGAATTAGATGGATACAAGCAATATGATATCAGTTATACATGTGAAGTCATGTAAAACATTTCCATATTAGCCATGTTGCAAACCTACAACAAAACCAACAATAAAAAGCAGGAAACATAAGAGTTGGGGAAAAAAAATATACTGCAACCTGCACTCAGAGTCCATCAGATCTCTCTCTGGAGATGATTAGCATTTTGCATCATGGATCTTTTGGGATCATCTTGAATTATTGTATGTTCAGAGTAGCTGACACATTTAATCATTGTTTCAATATTGCTGTTACTGTGTATTGTGAGCTCTGCTCACTTTATTTTGCATCAGTTTATATAAGTCTTCCCAAGTTTTTCTGAAACTATTATTGTCCTTTGTCATTTTTTATAGCACGGTAATATTCCATCACCAGGCAGCTAGGTGGCACAGTGGATAGAGTCCTGGGCCTGAAGTCAGGAAGACTCATCTTCCTGAGTTCAAATGTGGCCTCCAACATTTACTAACTATGTGACCCTAGGCAAGTCATTTAACCCTGTTTGCCTCAGTTTCCTCATCTGTAAAATGAGCTGAAGAAGGAAATGGCAAACCACTCCAGTATCTTCTGCAAGAAAACCCAAAATGGTGTCACAGAGAGTCAGACAGGACTGAACAACAACAATCCAAAAAGTGGGGTTTGGGGTTTCCTCCTCCACCTTGGAGTTCTTAAAGCAGAGGCTAAACAGTCATTGTTAGGTATGTGTATAGTGGGGATTCTTTTCATGTATAGGTTAGAATAGATGGCCTTGAAGCACCTTCCTTTCTCAAATTCTGTGTTTGTGTGGTGTGTCCTTTGCTCCTTATCACCTAATTGTGAAAATTTCCCATTCTAAAAAAATTTATTTTTTATTTATTTATTTTATTTATTTTTTCAGTTAACAAAAATTTACCTTCTCTTCTTTCCACTTTCCCTTCCCCTTCCTCTCCCCTCCATCGAAAAAGAAAAAAGAAACATGCATAGTCAAGCAAAGCAAATTTCCAAATTGGCCGTATCCAAAATATTTATCTCAGTCTGCGTCCTGAGATCATCACTTCTCTGTCAAGAAGTGGGGAAGCATGTTTTATTGATGGATCCACTATAATTATGGTTGGTCATCATGTTGTTTAGAGTTCTTAAGTCTTCCTGTTGATTGTGAATGCAGCTATTATGTGTATATATAATTCTTAAAAGTCATATTAATAGCTACTGGCATTTCATAATATTTTAATGATTACTGAGTGTTTGCCCTGCAATGACCTTCTGAACCCAGTTGTGCAAGTATTATCCCTATTTTACAGATGAGGAAATTATGGCAATTAAGTGATTTGCCAGGTGCTTAATTAAATGATTGGTGAATTGAAATACTGAAGTTCAAAGAACTCTTGTCAAAAGAGCAAGAACATTCATCCTGGAAAGCATAATGATTTCTTTCCAGCCCAGGGCTGGTCTTAACAATGTAAACTTTTATTTAAGAACTCTCTGGTTCAGAATATGAATGTGAAAATATTTTTCAACAGATTTGTCATTTCACCTCAGCTTTAGTGGTTCTAATAGCTAACATTTATATAAGGCTTTAAAGTTTGAAAAGCACTGCACAAATATGATCTCATTTTATCTTCACAATAACCCTGGAAGGTAGATGCTGTTATTTTCTCCATTTCACAGATGAGGAGACTGAGATGGAGGTTGTGATTAGCCCAGGGACACATAGCCAGTAATAGTCTGAGACTGGATTTGAACTTAGGTCTTCCTAACTCTGGGTCCCGTACTTTGATGTGTTTTGCCCTGTAGCAGCTGTCCTTTGACCTTAGTTGTGAAAGTCAAGAAAAAAAGTAAGTAACTTGAACATTAACTGCATGATTACCTTTTGTGTGTGTTTTGTTTTAACAGCTTGGATTGGTGGATTCATAGCTATTTCCATCATCAGTTTCCTTTCTTTGCTTGGTGTCATCTTAGTACCCCTGATGAATCGTGTGTTTTTCAAGTTTCTTCTAAGTTTTCTTGTGGCTTTAGCTGTTGGGACATTAAGTGGTGATGCCTTTTTGCATCTTCTCCCACATGTAAGTAGTATCAACCCATTTTAATATATTTTATTATTCTGTATTGACAGTGATTATTAGTTGTTCAGAGGTTATCTTTCAGTGTTTATTTACTAAAATTGTTTGCATCCAGTCACAGACATGCTAGAAGTTTGATTTTTGATGATATAATGTAATTTTGAGATACACCGGACATTACTAACTTGTATACACAAGTTTTCGTGCTTTTTCCCTTACTAAGGATAAACTAACATTTTGAATTTTAAAAAAATATTAAAAGGAGATTGATAGAGGAATGTGGGCCACAAAATTCCAATCAGCAACTACTAAGGCAGGGATGTGAACTGTAATCGATTTATTAGGGAGACTGGTGGCCTAGAGCCATCCAATTCAAGACCTTCCTCTTGGCCTAGGATCATGAAGCCCAGAGGCTGAGAGATTTTATAGACTTTAGGAGAGTCTCTGGGAAGTCCCCTAGCGCTTAGGAGGGTTCTTCAGAAGTGTGGAAACTCCTATGATTGGTTAATCATCAGAAGCCTAAAAGCTCTCATGATTGGCTAAGGGCAATCCATCGGATATAACTGCTTTGTCAGCAGGCCTTTCACCAGTCATTAGCTGTGTTGGGCCACCTCAGCCAGGGTGGCCTTTCCTTTTGTCAGCTTATCAGGGATTTTCCATTGTGCTATCAATAGTGTTTGACCAGCTGTTTCTTAGGAACCAAGGAAGTTGTGGTTTTAAAGCACAAGGTTACAAGGAAGCAGATGGTAATGATTCATCAAGGTGAAGAGGCAAATGATTTTTATTACAAGCCCAATACTTGGAGGGGCAGGAAGGATGGTTAGTGCAGTAATTATATTCTTATTGCATTCTTAACTAACAGTATGAATCTATCTGATAAATCAGATACAGTTAAGGTAATCCTCAATACGTGGTAGATTAATCAGTCATAACTCTTATCCTAACAACATTAGCTAACCATAATTATCTTGCGTAATTCTATTCTGCTTAATTCACTCATACAATCACTGATACCCCTCAAATCACAGTGAGTTGAATAAATGTTGATTAAATGAATAGGGATATCAAAATTATCATTGCAGGAGGAATTAAGTTTAATTACTTTTGTAGTTTTAAGCTTTGATATTAGTGCAAGCATAGCCACTTGAAAGAGGTCTGCATTGGGAACAGTTTTTCTTCCCTTTTAGTGTTAAGCGCTACTGGTTATTAAGTAAGTGACTGAAGTTGTTTTTGGAACAAATAATTGTTTTCTATGATGTGATAATGTCTTAGATGTATGTAATGTGCAGGGATTTCTCATGTTTATCTAAAATTTAAAACACCCTGGAAGCAAGAAAGGCTTGTATTATTTCAATTTTGGCACGTAAGGAAACTGAGGCACAAAAGTGACATGACTTGCATTAGATCATATAGCTAGTTAATAGCAACAAAGGTTTTCCAATTATCTTACATCTTTTTTGCTAGAACTTGGCCAGGGAGACACTATTATCCTTTCTATTTTTACTCATAAAAGAAAACCCAGAGAAGTAGGTCTTGCAGAACCCATAATTTTATATGGGTACTTCTCGTATTTGCAAATATTTACATTTGGGTTCAAGCCACAATCCACCATCCACCTTGTTAAGACTCTCTGCTCTTGATATGTTTTAGTATTTTGTGATCCTTCATTATTTGTAATGTGACTGTTTTGAAAAATAAAAAATGCACTGGAGTTCAGTATCCATCATAATTTTCTTCTTTACTGTCTAGTTGGATGATACCGTACTAACAAGAAAAACAAGCATCAGATAGTTATTATTTACTAATTTGCTTGTTGGTAGTGGTTGTTATGTAACAGTTCATAAGCAAAACCTTGCATTTTACAGATTACCTTGCTTATAACTGCTTTGCATAACAGTCAGGACAAACATTTTCATCCTCATTTTGCAGAACAAGAAGCTGAGGCTCAGTGAAGTTAAGTGACTTGTAAGGATCATATGAAAAATAAGTTGGGGAAGAGGTGGCAGACTCAGATCTGCTAACTGCAAAGCCTCTGCTCTTTCTGTTCCCCTTCCTGTGCTTCAATAAGTGTATACAGTGGGTAAAGTAGTGTTTTGTAAGGGAAGAAAGCAGCAAATGTTTAAGAGGGTTTACTACTTATGTAAATATTATTTGAAATGTAAATTTTAAGAAAATGTGTCTGAGGGGCAGCTAGATGGCACAGTGGATAGAGCACCGGCCCTGGAGTCAGGAGGACTTGAGTTCAAATTTGACTTCAGACCACTCTTGACACTTACTAGCTGTGTGACCTGGGCAAGTCACTTAACCCTAATTGCCTAAAAATAAAAATTTTTTTAAAAAATATGTTAGGCAAAATTGGCATGCAGTGAATAGATCATTCGAATTATATTTAGATAAATTGTGACTTAAACCCCAAAGTTTTGTAGCTCTTCCCTCCCTGTCATACTCCTCATTTCCAGGAAAGCTCCTGGAGCAGTCTTCTTTCCTGCCCACCTGTCCAGTGCTTGGTAAAAGGTTTTGTTTTTCTTTTCAGTTTTTAGATTATTTACTTTTTAGAACTTTTTGCATAAGTGGTTGTTAGCTTTGTGTGTACATTTAGTGAGGTTACAATCAGTGGAAAAGGTGAGTTCTTTAGCAAATTTTAATAAAGTAAATTAGCCTTTTACATTTTCTTTTTTACTTACTAAGTCATTCTCAGAGGAACGTATCACTATTTCAAAATTTCATAAGTCTCTCACTGGCTGTAAAGTCTTTAATGTCTGACAAATAATGGGAAGTTGCCACTGCATGCTCCAGGTGCCCCAAGGTCTAGTCCTTCTCATACAGCAAGAATAGAACTCTGTTTTGAAAAGTTGTGGTGATTCTGCTGCTTGTTAGAGCATCTTTAGCGTCTAAAAGAATGATTCTTAATGTGTATGCCACTTAGACCCCAGAAATTGCCATTGTCTTTTTTTAAGTTTTTTTACTCTGAACTTCTCAAGTGTCAAATGAAGTGAGCATTTCTGTATACAATATAGCACAGAATAAGAGGATTAAATATGAAGCTGTTACGCTTAACTTACTTTTCCTTTTAAGTATGTAGTAAAGTCAACTTGTAATTTTCACAGCTATTCTGCTTCTCTCGTTTCTTTCTGGTTTTCCTTCTGTTCTGTTCTGTGCATTTTAAAAATCCTTCAATGGTCCTCTTATTTTCTTTTTTGGTGACCCTATTGCTACCTTCCACCCCACCCCTATTGAAAAGAAAAAGAGAACAAAACCTTATAATACTCACAGTGAAACAGAATAAGTTCCCACATTGACTATGTTCACAAATTTATTTAGAGCTTGCCATTATCACTAAATTCTCAACAGAATGGAAAATCTATCACTGGTGTCAAACTGAAAAAACATCCCTGTGGGATACATATTGACTTAGAAAATCACAAATTAACATTGTTGTATTATGTATTTTGTTAAACATTTACCAATTATATTTTCATCTGATTCTGGCCAAGTCAGCAAATCTGACACCTCTTCTCACATATGTTCATTTCAAAAACTGTTTTCTTATATGCATAACCACTGTACACAGTTGCAACGCATCTACATAGATCTACCTCTATATTCAGGGTCCATGCTGCTCAGGGCCTCGTAACCTCAGAAAGCTTAAAATTCCTGACCTGCTGGCAAGCCAGAGCATTAACAGTAAAACAATCAAAACTGAATGCTGATAAATTATAATGACCCCACAGAAGAAGGATGAGAATATATACCTTTTGCAGAAGCAAGGGCATTGTAGGTGTGGAATCCTGCATACAATGTTAGACTTGGTTGATATCTTGGGAGATGTAGCTGAGCTGTTTTTCCCTTATTTTTCATTCTCTGTTATGATGGAAAGCCCTTAGAGAGTGGAAAGGAAGAGGGATATATTGAGAGATGTTGGTAACATAAAAACAAGATACTAATATACTTTAAAAAGGGGAAAAAAAATGCTCCTTGGGCATGTACTGGTTTTGTTTTCTTTCTGTATCTCCAGCACCTAGCACAGTGCTTGACATATACCAGGCATTTGTTGACTGAATGACCACAGGCATGTCAATTTCAGTTCTCTCTTTACTGTTATATATACTTTTATGGAGTGTAAAGGAGTGATATGATAGGTTTTTTTAGAGCTATAAAAGACCTTTATCTGGTCCAGGAAGATTCCTAAAAAAAATTGGGGGGCTTATTTAAGAATCTTTCATCATTAGAAGATAATACATGTATAGAAATGATGTCAGGACATACAGCTTAATAATTTCAGGTGCAAACAACATTAACAATTGAATCTAAAATATTTTAGTAATATAAAGGTCTTACAGGATTGGTGCCTTTCTTATGGCTTAATTTTCTCATCAGATCCCTCATGTGGTAGGGACTGGACCTTTGATTATATTGGTATAAGGAACTTTGGGATGAAGAAACTCCTTCTCCTTGTGCAGATTATCTTCTCTGTAACTTGTAACATTTCAGATTCCTGAATAATGTCTCAGTCTATATGTTATCACTGAGGCACTATTGCAAGCAGAAAGATAGTACAGATGACCAGATACTAACCTTGCCTTACATAAAGTAAATTCCAAAATTGAATAATATGCTGTCCTCAGGCTAGTCTATGATTCTGAAATGTATTTTCAAAATATAGGAGATGATAGAACTTCTAAAAATCTTCGTGCATCCATGCATTAATTTGGACCCTGAACCAGGTAAATGTGAGACTGCTGAAAGATACCACATGAAGACACTTTCTAATTCAAATGTTTAAGTGCCTGTACTATACAAGGTACTGTATGCTAATTGCTGAGGTTACAAAGATGAGACAGAGATCCCTGCTTTCAAGAAGCTTATAATCTAAAGAGGGAAAACGTATACTTATAAGTACCCTGCAAAGAAGAGCTTTTTATATTCATTTACAACAACCTGCTTCACAACCTGCCTCCAAATCCTAAATCAGCTAGTCTTCATTCATTTACACATATTTCCTACTGACCTATAAGATAGCAAGTAATATCAACATAAACCAGTTTCACTGGGGTCTATTATTTATTGTCATTTGCTCAGGGGCTAAAATTTAAAAAATTTTTTCAGTTAAGTACTAGTCCATATAATTAAAGTCATTGAAGAGAGCTATATCTGGATGAGTGTGTTTTTGTTGACGTACGTGTAAGTGCAGTGAGTGTGTTTTTATTGACATACATATAAGCACGAGTTCTCTTTCCCCACATATGTGTGTGTATATACATATGTACATATGTATGTATATGTATCAGACTAATTTCACCAAAGTATAAACACACACAGCCTTTGGTGCAATTGGTTTGATACTCCTAGGTTCTACTTCACTTTATTATCATATTAGTATTCTCAATGTGAAAGGATTCTTAATGTTGTTTCTTATTTCATTGGCAAGTCATTTGTAATCATTTGTATGTTAGTAAATTGAATCTAACAGTTGTGAAACATACTGTTTGTTCATAGTCTCATGCAAGTCACCACCACAGTCATAGTCATGAGGACCAACCCCTTCAAGCAAGCAGAGGACCACTGTTCAGTCATCTGTCTTCTCAAAATATAGAAGAAAGCACTTATTTTGACTCCACTTGGAAAGGCCTTACAGCTCTAGGAGGCCTGTATTTCATGTTTCTTGCTGAACATTTAATCACATTAATCAAACAATTTAAGGACAAGAAGAAAAAGGTAAAATATTAATATGTAATACTTAATATACTTCATGCTGATAGATGGTATGTCTGAGATCTTAGATTTGGGGAATTAGTAGCCTCTAGTCCTGCTACTTAAGCGAGTATTTGTAGGTCTTAGTACTTCTAGATTTTTCTTCCCTAAAGTGTCCAACACTACACGAGATGGAAAAGGACCAAGGTAGATGACTAGGCTTATGTTATGGCATTAACAGGACTCCTAGACCCAGAAATGCAGTAGCTACCCAGTAAATATCATTTGATGACAGTGGTGAACATTGCTTTGAAAATGTTGCCTTATAGTTGATCTTTTTTGGCAAAAATTTGTGTGGCACTCATTCAATCTTCTGCCAGAGATGGTATATAGTTACCCAGGTAGTTCTCATGTTCTATTGACAGTACCTTTTCAGTTACATTATTTCTGTCATGCATGCTCAAAGACCTTTCCTCTCAGTCCTAGTGGTTCAGACAGGAAATGCTCCTTCTGCAGCTACCTCTAATCTTTTGAGGTTGGAAATAGGTAGATAGGGCTGGGAGAACACCCTCTTTTTGACTTAATTCAACAAATATGTATTAAATGCCTTATTGTGAACATGGGCCTATGTTAGTGATATATGCTAGATAACCAGTGAAGAATAGCTTGTGGAGATACTTTACTTCAAAGTAGCTCATTATGGGCAGCTAGGTGGCACAGTGGATAGAGAGTACCTGGCCTGAAGTCAGAAAGAATTATCTTCCTGAGTTCAGATCTGGCCTCAGAAACATCCTAGCTATGCGACCCTGTTTGTCTTAGAGTCTTTATTGGTAAAATGAGCTGGGGAAGGAAATGGCAAACCATTCCAATGTCTTTGCCAAGAAAACTCCAAATGGTATTACAAAGAATTGGATACACCTAAAACAACTGAACAACAACAAAGCACTATTATAAAAAAGGCATTTTCTAACTTTTAATGGCTGATGAATATAACTGTCAATATTGGTTTTGGGGGTAGTAAAGGTTTTTTTCTGTCCTCATCACAAGAGATGACAAAGGAACTAATTTCTGTCTAATAAATCATTGTACTTCTCTGAGAGAAGCATAGCTTGCATTAATCCTTAATGATTCTACTTTTACAACTGTATAAGAATGGGATAACCTTTGTGTGTTTATTTCAAATGCTAAGGAAATTAATATAATCAAAAGTCATAAATTGAGGAGGAAATATACTTGATAAACATATGTATATGTATGTATATGTAAAATGCCCTTTCCCCCACCCCAAAAGATGTGCTTGCCTGCAGTCAAAAGTTTACAATTTGGTAGTACTCTATTAATATGGCTTTTATCTTACATTATATATATTTGCTTAAATGTTTGACTTTTAGATGTTTGAAAATTCTGTTAAAGGATTACTTTCCCTTGATTCTTTAGACTCAAAAAAAGCCTGAAAGTGATGATGAGATGGAGATTAAGAAACAGTTGTCCAAGTATGAATCTCAGATTTCAACAAATGAAGAGAAGTTAGACACAGATGATCGTAAGTCCTGGTAATCAAATCTGAGGAAGAATCCTGCTGTATCCCTTTTTCTTGATCAGAAGAGCATTAGCTCTTACCTACTCCCTTATCTTATTTTCATATTATCTATTTCTTATCTATGTTATCTACTTCCTAAAGAACAGCTGATAAATTGTTGTATACTCTCTGAAAGTGATAGAAAGTGAGAATGTCTTTATTTTCAGGGGAAATTTGCCAGAACATTCAAGGCTGGCCATCCCTGGTCCTGTGGGACCTTGCTATACCCTTCTTACACTAACCCATTTGTTCCACTGGAAAAGTCAGGTGATCTTGGCTAGGAGGTCATTTATTTCAGGGCCAGTCAAATTTTACAATTTTATTTCCATAGCTCTACTACATAGGATTTGCCTGTAGTGTATTCCCTTAAAAATACCATTATAACCAGGAATTTGAACCCCACTCAAACACTGAAATAACTAATGTAATGAACCCAAATAAGAACTTTTTAAACCAAATCAAAACTTCATCCAGAAATTGTTCAGTTGAAGAAATTTTTCTTTCCTATTACAGTTTTGCAAATGAGGAATTTGAGGTCCAGAGAGATTAAACCAGTAACATAATAAAAAAGCCCTATAACAGTCTGTTGTGAGGATCCAAGGACATTATATATGGAAGGCTTTGCTAGCCTTCAAGTCCTGCTGCTACTGTTCTTAAAGCCACAACCAAACAAAATCACACAGCTCTAAGTAGTGTGGCTAGGATTTAAAACCCATATCTTTGAATTCCAAATTCATTGTCTTTTCTTGCATATCCTGCTGCCTTTTGTTGCTTCATCATTATGGTATGCTCTTTTGGAGAGAATTCATGGTAGTTGTTTATTTAGTCTTTTTTCCCTTCTCTTCTTTGCTTTCTGCTTCACTTTATTGAGGTATATATAGACATTACCTGGTCTTTTGTTTTTGACATCCAGTATCCTTAGACTTCTAATATTTTATCAGACTGGATAATTATAAACAGTTGTCTTTTGACTTTTAGTTTCTGGTGCAAAAAAATGTCCTTCATTATGAGTTTGGTATTTATTAATGAGCAATAATTACCATATTTACTCAATACTTGGAAAGGGGCTTAACAAACTGCTCATAGGATTAGTCTAATAAATGTTAAACATCTAATTCCTACTTTTTTCTCACACACACTCACTCACTAACTCACTTTTAACTGGCAGAGTTTTGGAAGGATCTTATTTGATCCTTGAAAAAGCTGTCCATACTCAATGTCTCCACTTCATCTCCTCTCATTCCTTAGCTGTGGCTGCTTCCTGGCTGCATATAAATATTCCCATGTCTCCTTCATCCTTTAAAAACCCTCACTTGATCCATCCATCCCCACTAGCTTTTGTGGTATCTCTTCTCCCTTTTGAGATTAAACTCTTTGAGAAAGTTGTCTATTATCAGTGCCTCTACCTCTTTTTCTCTCACTCTCTTAGCTTTCTGTGGTCTGGTTTCTGACTGCATCACTCAAATGAAACTGCTGTCTCCAAAGTTACCATTGATTACTTAATTTCCAGATATAATGGTCTTTTTTTAAAATTTTTTTTTGGGGGGGGGGGGCTAGGCAGTGGGATTAAGTGACTTGCCCAGGGTCACACAGCTAGTAAGTATTATGTATCTGAGGCCAGATTTGAACTCAGGTCCTCCTGAATTCAGGGCCAGTGCTCTATCCACTGTGCCGCCTATAATGGTCTTTTTTGAGTCCCCTTTGACACTGTTGACCACTCTCCCATTTGGATTTTCCTGATACTTCTCTCTTCTGGTTTTCCCCCTACCTGTTTGACTGCTTCTCCATCTTTTCTTACTCATTATCCATATGATATCTCCTCATGGTGAGTGTTTTCCATGTTTCTATCATAGGCCCTCTTCTCTCTGTCTTTGCTCTCTTGGTGACTTCATTTGTTCCCGTGGGTATAGCTCTCTTCTATATGCGTATGACTCCTCTATCTCCAGCTGCAATCTCTCCCCTGAGGTATAGTCCTGCATTACCAACTGTCTTTCAAACTAGAAGTCCTAGAAACATCTTAAAATCAACATGTCCAAAATCAAATTCATTTTTCTACCTTTACCCTCTGCTCCTAACTTCACTACTTCTATTGAAGGTACCATCATTCTCTTCAGTCTTACAGGATCATAATCTCAGTGGTGGACTCCTCATTCATTCACTCTATGTCCAGTCAACTACATGTCTTGTTATTTCTGCCTCCACAATATAGCTTATCATCTGAACTGTTCTGTCTTTTCACATAGCTACCATGCTAATTCAGGCCATCATTACCTTTCACCAAAGTTATTAAAACAGCTTCCTAATTAGTCTCACTGCATCAAGTCTGTCGCCTCCCTAGTCCATCTTATACTCTCCTGTCAGAGTAATTTTCCTGAAGAACAGGTCTGACTCCCCTACTTATCTAACTTCAGTGCCTTCCTATTTATTGCCTTTAGGATAAAATATAAACTTCTGTTTAGCTTTTAAGGCCCTTCACAACGTGGTCCTGACCTATCTTTCTAGACTTATTGAACATTTCTCCTCTCACACTCTGTAATATGGTCAATCCATAAGCATTTATTTAAGCACTTTCTATGTACCAAGCACTGTGCTAAGCCCTAAGGATACGAAGAAATGTTAAAGATAGTCTCTGTTCTCAAGGACCTCACAGTCTAATGGGGAGACAACATGTAAACAACTATGTAGAAATGTCAGTGTAAATGGGAGGTAATTTCAGAGGGAATGTACTAACTTGAATTAAGGGAGATTGGAAAAGTCTTCTTGCAGAAGGTTGGATTTTAGTTGAAAGAAGACAGGAAAATCAGGATTCAGAAATGAGGAGAGAGAGCATCTTAGGCATAGGGAATAGCCAGTGAAAATGCCTGGAGTTGAAAGATGGGTTGTCTTGTTTAAAGAGCAGCAAGGATCCAGCATTACTGGATTGAAATGTACATGGGGAGAGAATAAAGTAAAAGAAGACTGGAAAGCAAGTGAAGGGCTTTGAATGCTAGAGTATTTTATATTTTTTCCTAGGAGTGGTAGAAAGCCACTGGAATTTTTTGAATGGAGGGCACTGACAGGGAGAGACCTGCATTTCAGGAAGACTTATTTGATAGCTGAGTGGAGTATGGACTAAAGTGGGGAAAGAATTGAGTTAAAAAGACCAACATGAATCAGCAAACTATAGCATTAGTCTAGGGTTGACATGATGAAGACCTGTATTAGGGTAGTTGCGGTGTCAGAGGAGAGATGGGAATGTACATGAGAGATGTTACAAAAGTAGAATTGGCAGGTTTTTGCAATATATTTATTATAGCGGGCTGAGGGAGAGTGAGAAATCAAAGATGACACTTAGGTTGTAAGCCTGAGTGCCTGGGAGGATAGTGGTATCCCAACATTAATAAGGAAGTTTGGAAGAGGAAGGCATTTAGGGGAAAGATAATGAGTTCAGTTTTGCACATGTAGAGTTTAAGGTATCTGTGGGACATCCAGTTTGAGGTATCTAGTAGGTGACTGGAAATTCAGTGATTGGAGATAAGAGAAAAGTTAGGGCTAGATAAGTATATCTGAAAATGAACATAGAGATGGTAATTGAATTCATGGTAACTGATGAGATTAAAGGAAGTAGAGGGTCTAGGAAAGAGCCCAATGTTAGAAGGCATGGCCTGGACTAAGAATCTGCAGAGAAAATGGAGAAGGAGCAGTTTTATAAGTAGGAGAAGAACTAGGATGGTCATGATGTCACAGAAACCTAGAGAAAAAAGGATGATCAAAATTTTTCAAAGGCTATAAAAAGAGGTCATAAAGAATGAGAATTTTGTGGGCAGCTAGGTGCAGTGGATAGAGCACTGGCCCTGAAGTCAGGAGGACCTGAGTTCAAATCCAGCCTCAGACCAAACACTTGACACTTACTAGCTGTGACTCTGGGCAAGTCACTTAACCCCAATTGCCTTTTAAAAAAAAATTAGGATTTTAAAAAAGGCCATTAGATTTGGCAATTAAGAGATCTTTAGTAACTTTGTAAAGAACAATGATGAGATTAGAAGGTAGAATGTAGAGTTAAGAAGAGAGTGAAAAGAAAGGAGGTAAAAGCGTTGATGATTATCTTTTCAAGGAGTTTAGCCAGAAAACGGAGAAGGGATAAAAGACAATAAGTAGTGGGGGCTGAGTGGGTCAAGTTTTTTGAGGTTAGAGAAGACTTGAGCACATTTGTAGGCAGTGAGAAGCAGCCAAGAGACAGGAAGAGATGAAGATAAGTGAGAGAGTAGGGGTGACAGAAGGGGCAATCTGCTGGAGAAGATGGATGGAATGGATCAGTTGTGCATGTAGAGGGGTTTGCCTTGGTAAGAAGGCCCTCCTCTTCATATGAAATAGAGGTGAAGGCAGGATGGTGGCAGAAGACATCTGGAAGATATGAATTGAGGAGGAGGGGAAAAGAGAATGATGTCAGTGACCACAGTTTTTTTCAGTAAAATGTGATACAGGGTTTTCAGCTGAGAGGCTGCAAGAAAGGAGAGCTCTGGGAAGTTTGAGGAGGGATGACAGAAAACGTTTGGTTGAGCCACTGTGGTGAGTAGAGGAATGAGTTAGAGAGGCTTAAAAAGATTGCTTTGCTGCAGTGAGGCCCCAGTTGAGATTATGTAGCATCATCTCTGTTCCTCACATGAAATTCTCTCTCTTTTCATGCCTGGAATACACTCCTTCCTGCTTGCCTCTGCCCCCTGGAGCCTTTCTTTTTGTTTAAGATGCATGCAGCTCAGGTATCATTCCACCTGAACTGAAGCCTTTCTTGACACTGCCTCCAAATATTAGAATCCCACCTACCAAACTTGTATTGAACTGTTTTTTATATGTCTGTACTAACTAATTTTATGCTATATATATTTTTATAGTCCTTGTTGTCATTCCCTTTAGAAGGTAAATTTGTGAATAAGGACTATTTTATTCTTTGTCCTTGTATCCCTAAGATCTCCCACAGTGCCTAGCACA